CGGCCGAAGTACTCGTCTGCCTTTGTGTCCGCAGTAATCGCGTCCTTGCACCGCCAGCCATACGTATACGTAGCCCACAATACGACGCAGCTGGACATGCATGCAGGGGGTGCGTCTTTTTGGTCCGCTCGCTCGTTTCCTTCTTCGTTTCTTTCTCTTTGCCGCTTCTAATCACCGGCTCGTCTCGTGACGATGCGTCGGTGCCAAAGGGACGACGTTGAGAGTACGGAGGAACAACGCGTACAAAGACGATAGACAACGATGAGATAAAGGGCGAGAAAACGAGAGACACAAAGAGCCGGGCCCAAGGCAAGGCTGGACCATACAGGCCTGGCCCAGACCACATTCCACAGACCACGAGCGGAAAACGCAGAAAACTCGCAGTCCTCTGGAGACGGCGAACGGAGAAATGCTGAAGCTTTGCAATGCGTGCGTTGCGGTGTTGCGGTATTGTCAGCCTTGGCAGGCGCCATGGAGGGTGAGTGCATATCAACAGCCGTCTGAGGCAATACGACATAACAGACACGTACTTCGTACACATACAATCTTACATGAAAACCCGCTTATGCTCTTCTGCTGAGTAGACACGACAATGGGACGGGTAAGATCAAAGACAAAAAAAGAAGGAAACAAAAACCGAGACCAGAAATTAGGAACGGTGCTGAGGCATGAATACTGGAACGGTTGGACTTGGCGATGCCCCCAGTGATGGGGGTCTCTCGCCAGGCCATGAAGCGCGGAAGCCAGGCCACCGCCAGAAACCCTCAAATGACAGCGGATGCCCTGGCCTGGGTTGTTTGATTGAGGCCAGCCCCGAGCGAGAGAGACTGGCCTGCGCTCCACTTTCGGCGCACATGAGCTCCGGGTAGGTCGGGAAACGCGTGTACGCCGTGCGTGTGTACTTCATACACTTGCCCTGTCGTACTCAGCATGGTATTACGGCGTGGGGCAGACATCCTCATAAGGTTGTGAGGCTTGGTCTAGACTCTCGAGCCAAGCCAACCACGCCGATGTGTCTCGGGCACAGGCATTCTGCGGAAACGAGAACACGGTGCACGAATGGGCAAACAGTGCTGTCGGCAGCTCACTGATACGGACGGGCCTGGTGAGCACACGCCCGTTTGAGAGGGAACAACGCCAGTCTTCCCCAGGGTCAGAGGGTCAGAGGGTCAGAGGGTCTGGGGTCTGAGTCTGGGTTGCCGTCTGATCTGCCAACTGCCACCCTTTGTGCGGTCCACGTTGCACCCACGATTTGAGAGCCACGATGTTCTCAGAGAAGAAGACGACAAATCTCGTAGTAAGAGACTGCAGCGCTGCTCTTTGAAGTGGCCGCCAAGGGACATTGTCGATTGCTCATGCCAGGCGCCGATAGGGACTAGTTCCGCTAGTCAGACATGCCCGTTACATTGCATTTGCAAGGCAAAAGGAACGATTCGGGGTCGAGGGGGTGTCGGCAAAGGCCTGTGTCGGTCCCTTATTGTCCCCTTGCCTTCCTCTTTTTCTTTTCTTTTTTCTTTTTCGTATTTCTTTTTTTTCGTTTTTCTTCCTCGTTGTCAGACACATCGCCGGGGCACATGCCAGCGGCCTCAAAGAAGGCAATTCCTTTCACGTCTTTATTGCCCATTACCTCAAACGAGTCAGCCGTCGGGGCAAGTCAGTGTGAGACAATCGGTTGAATCTCGATGAACATGCTGCAGCCAATCAGAGAACTCCAAATCGGCCACTAACACCAGCTTGTATTGCTCGAGCGGAGCAATTACGCTGAACCGCAAAATCTTTTCTTTGTGCAACAAATCCCTGTTTGCTCTCTCCCGCCTCGCCCTGCCTCCTGTGATCAACCGAACAAGAACGGCCGAGCGGGGCGTGGCGTGGCATAGATCCGGTCTAGACCGCAAGGAACTCATGCCCCTTCCCTCCTAATTCGTACTCTGTTCACAGTCTCCCCGACTTGTCAGGAAGCTTGCTTCCTTTCGTTTTTCTGTGCATAACCATTTTATTCTTCAGCCTGAAAACAAGGATGAACTGACTTTTGGACTGGCTGGAAGAAACGGCCAAGAACGATCGTTTTGCTGTTACGAAGCCGCTAATTAACATGAAAAATCTTGTAAAACAATATGCAATTGTTTCTCTCTCTTCATCCTCGTGGTGCTCGCCTAACATCGCATCCCTCACCAAGTGGCTAACGTGGTATGCTTGGACGGGACCGTTATTTATTGGGCAAATCTAGGTTCGTCTTCTTGCTTTGAATTTGCATTCGCGGCCATTTCTCTACGCGTGTTTACACTGCCACAGGGCTCTACGGAGCTTTACAAACCCCGAAACAGCGACAGGCCGAAAAAAGCCAATCAACGAGGCAGGCTTTTGTACGGCACTGATGGGCTCCCCTGTTCTCGGCATCCGCTGGTTTGGCCATGCGTAAAACCCAACGTCTACAAAGCCTTTTCTTTGGTGCAGTCTTTTCTTGCTGGGGAAAGAAGATATTTTCACATCCTCTAACGGACGCTTTGGAGTCATTGGTCAGACAAACGGGCTGCAAGCTGGATACGGAAAGAGACGTAGTAAAGATCCCGAGAACAGACGGGGCAGACGCTTGGTCGGAAAGCGCGACCCGGTGAGGGATGGCAAAAAGAACGTAAATAGTGGAAGGAACAGACCATCGCCGATTAACCTGCATTACTCCGTCCCTCGGCCTTGGCCATGCCTTCTCGTCTGATCCCGAATCTAGCCCACCCTGGTACCAGTGGAGGGGGCCGAAGGTTTGTGCCGGCCGATCGACGGACGGCTACTGGCCACACCAAAGTCTAGATCGGTGTGCCGCGATGTTGCCGCAATGTTGCTACGGGAATCAGAATGAGGAAGAAAAGAGACGGAAAATTAACACGAAAGAGAACAAAAAGGAGACAGAAACCGTGACGCTCGAAGCACAACTTGGCCGTTTCCTCCGCCCAGTCCCTGACGCCCATCTGCACAACAAACGTCACACCGTCCATGGCACTGGTCTTTTTCACCGGGTCGCTTCACACTGTCAACGCTCGCTTCCCGCTAGGATCATGGGACGATCACCGTGATTGCCGGACATCGAATACGATCGACGGCAACTGCCACACCACTCGAGGTTATAAAAGATAGCAGACACCTTCTCTTGTCTGGCAGCTCACTCACTATCCTGCCCCTCTGCCGTTGGGATCCTCTGATGGCCCACCACGAAGAAGGCTCTGCCACTAGGCCTGGTGGAATCTGGCTGGATTTGACGTGACCCGGCAGTCCCTCTCAGAGCATACGGGCGTTGGACGACCAATGCGGCCATGCTTGGCCTTGGCCTTCAACGGCCGCCGTCGTATCTAGCATTTGCCGTACCGGTCTGGCAATGCCGTTGGTTTCAAACGGTTTATACCATCGTGTCCCTCTTTTATGTTTTCTCCTCTATCTCCCGACTTCTATCACACGTCTTTGTGCTCCCATCGACAAGCACCCAAGTGCGACCGGACCATGAGCACAATGATCGGCGGTGGAACGTGCGCACAGCGTATTGCATCTCTTCCTAGAACTTTCCACCCGCCTTTCTCACTGCTTTTTTATTTCCTTCGTCGTGCTTGATGCCGTCGACCTCTGCGAACGAAACATGCGCAGGGTTGGACGGACGCACGCATTATATTTACATCCGCCATTCGATGCACGAAAATCAAGAAAAGAATCAGCATCAAGGAAAATCGGATTCTCTCTGCTTACGTGACGAGCGGTTGTTTCATGTTTCATGGACACCGCATACTCGCATATTACCTTGCGGCCTGCCGTGGCCCGTGCCCGATGGGCACATTTATCCCCAAAGTCAATGAAAGGCATCGCTTTCGCACCAAAAGTGTTGCCCTTCTGCCAGCCAAACCTCTCGCTTGACGGACGACTGGCGCTCTGATTGGCCTGTTCGGTCTGTAGATATGCAGAAAACAACCACACGGCATTCGAACCCACTTTTTTCACTGTCTCCCCACCCACTGCGAATCGCCCGCCTTTCCTTCCCGGCGCTTAACTGCCTCACTGCCTCGACTTCACGCTGGGGCCCCATTCTTTTGTGCCTTTCCCATGCGCTGTGTGGTTCGCTCCTTCCCCCCCTGCACGCCCGTCTTGCATGTCTGTGATGTGATGAAGACGGCAGGTGCGCCCCTTGATTGGCTGGCACATTGCACATCGTTGCTTCTTTCCCAGGGGGTTACCTTGGTGGTATTGAGTCCGTTTGCTGTGATTCGCTGGATTGCTGCTGCCGTTGAGTGCTCTTGCTCTAACTCGTCCGTCTCTCGTCCTCTTTGGCACTCTCCCTCCCTTTGGTCTCACACTTTCCTGCTGGCGCATGGCAAGATGGCCGCAAAATGGCGACGAACGTGAGTGCGGGCATGGCGGTTAACCGCCGGAAAACATGGTGTGCAGCGCTGTGAGGAAACAGAGCGAGTGTGTGACAAGAGGCGCTCGGGTTGTTCTCAATGGGTGCACACAGCAAAGAAGTGGGCGCCAAGAACCAAGAACGAATGAACCACGAGGAAGGTGCCGGAGAGGGAAGGCGGGATCTAGGACTGGGTGAGAGGGAGACTGGGAGTATGGGAAAGAGCAGATGCTTGACAGTCGTGGGTGGGAAGGTGGGAAACAAATAAAACTGAAAGAGTCGTCCTTTCCCTTCTGATCGGTGTTCCTTCTGCTTCTCCTTTTGCTCCTTTTCCCCTTCCTTTTCTTGCCGTGATCGTTTTGTTGTTCGACCTTCACGTCCATTCGGCGCCCGGCCTCTCACCACCCCATCTGGCTCGTCGACACTGCTGGTCAGAAGACACGAGGCTGTGTCCCTTGCTTCGCATCCCGGAGTCGTCTACATCTGTGGACATATCGACGGGCATTTCCACGTCGACAAGCCCGCACAGAGCTCACGCAGGGCCTTGTTTCTGGATTCCGGCGAAAATCGTTGTCGAAACAACGAGACCGAGCCCGCGCTTCACACACACACCTACACAGCCAAGATGGTCTATCGGCTGCTCCGCCGGCCATGGCCGCGCCGGAAGATCTACTACAGCACGATGATACCGGAACTGGCCTGCACGGTCGGCCTGCTGGTGCTCTTCGGCCTCGCCCAGCCAAACACCTACCGCACGCAGATGTGGCAGATTGGCTTCAACAACGGCTTCAACTCAAACCCCAACATGATTCTTTACGCCTATGCGAACCATGCGCCCCTTCCGAAAATCCCATTTGTCTGGTCTCAAGCGTATGCCTTCCTGTGCCTCTGTTGCATGCAACGTATCTGTACCCCCCCATAAGTCCTTTTCCTAACCCACGGTCTTCTTTTGTAAACAGTCTCACGGACTTCAATGTCGCCATCGCCGTCCTGTCTCTTTTCGTCCTCATCGCCAAGATGATTGCCCTCATCATGCACGTCTTCTTCCCCATTTTCGGCCTCCTCATGTCCATCGCCATGGTCGCCCTGTACGCGACCAGCGTCTATGGACAGGCCGGCCCCGACTATGCCGATGCCCGCTATCCGAGCCCCGTGGCCTGGTACATTGCCAAGAGCTGCAGCTACGCTGCTGCAAACAACGTAGTCACCGACTGCATGATGGCCAAGAGCTCCTTCGCCATCACGGTTCTTATGCTCGCTGTGTACCTCGCCAACTTGGGCTTCGCCATTTGGGCGATGGTGCCGAACAAGGCCCTGGACATTGAAGACGAGGATTCCGAATCGGACGACGACACACCCAGTTCCCGCAAGCAATGGGAGATGCAGCCACAGGCGATTCGGTCGCCCGGACTGCGGTCCGCCGGGCTGCGGTCGCCCGGGTTGCGGTCGCCCGGGTTTGGAGGAGCGGGAGGAGGAGGAGGAGGAGGGGTGTTTTCTGGCGGAGGCCAGATGGCGTCGCCCTTCACCCCACGCACGCAAGCCTTCAACTCGTTTGACAGGAACGCCTCGCCGTTTACGCCTCGCACACAGGCCTTCCACACGTTGGACCGGAAACTGCCGTTGCGGGCGTAGAGTTGCCCACACTCTCGCCATGCATGTCCTGTCGTTTTCCACGCCGTCCATCAAAACGGCGGCGGCTGCACAGAGGTGTAGCACCTCTGTCTGGCGTGACACTCACCATATTGTATATATGAGGTGAATCTCAGATTGCCCATTTCTTTTCTTTATTTTTTTGGCTTTGCTTTACTTTGTACGAACCGAAGATATCTCTGGGTCTGTTTTTTTTGTTTCATATGCCTTCACTTATGGCTACTGGCGTCTTGGTAAACCAGATTAATTTTATTTTCTATCTGAAAGAATCATCCTTTGTCGTTTTGAACAGTCGAATGGGCAGCAACGTCGGGATCACAAATGCAGCAGTGCGGCGCTCGAGTCCGGCACGCTGACTGTTACCTGTCCGCCCTGTGACTGCAACTTCTCGCCTGTTGTCACGTTGGGCTGCTTCACAGGCCGCCCACCGGCGAGCTCCACATTGTAGCTCCAACCGTCCCAGGTGATGCCCGTGATCGCATCACTGCCGTTGGCGAGAAGGCGCTGCACAAGGAACCCCGCACTGTTGTTGTCAAGGCCGCCCGGCACATGCTGTTGAATGCCATTGTGGATGGGTGTAGGCAGAGAGAAGGTGTAGTTCTGGCTTGGGCGTGGCCGGAAGCCAGCAGGCGCTGCTTCGCCCAAACCAGTTCCATCCACCGTCGTGTTGTAGCCTCGCAAGTTGAGTACGAGCACGCGAGCGAGGTGGCCATCCACATAGATGGCGTACGCCGAGTCGATATCACCAGACGACGACGAGCCGGACGGAAACAGCACCGCTACCGATACATTGTGCAGTTGTGTATTGCCCAGAGCCGCCGCCACGGCAACGTTGCCATAGTACGGCGGCTTCGTCCCGCGCGTGGTACTCTCCGTATCAACCGGCTGCCATGAGGCGTACCGATAGTTGGCGCCCTGGTGCATGTGCACACGGCCAATGCCTGCGGCGGCGCTGTACAGGAGAAAGTCAACGCCCCAGAGGGCGGCGCCAAAAGTGTTGGAAAGACCCGGTTTGCCCTCGTTGTAGAGTGAGTTGGCCTCGCCCAGAATGTGCCGAGGCTGGGACCTCCGCGTGCTGTTCCCGGCTGCGACTCCAAAAATGGCCTCGTACTCGGCAATGTGCGCGTTGACAGAGCGCACCGTGTTGGTGTGGTTCATGAGCGTGCCCTGGAGAGTCACGCCGGGTGAGGTGGCGCCGCTGATGTAGCTGCAACAGTTAGTACCTCTCTCTCTCTTCTGCAGTTTGGCCAGCGAACGTACTTATGAGACGAGAACAACGCAATGTTCCGGTCAGCATCCAGACCGGCTTTCCATGCAGCAGGAGCTTTCAGATGGTTGTGTGTCCCACCAAAGGATGGAGCCATGAACCCAGAATAGTCGGGAGGAACAGCCGGCGGCGATGTCTGTGTCGACGAACCTCCGCTGCGAAAATCCTCACGCAACAGCTCTGAGCAATGCTTTTCGATAAGGCGCCGGATTTGCCTCGTGCCATTGAGCCACTGAGAAGCATAGATACTCTCGTTCCAGCCAGTTGGTCGTGTCGGGCCCTGTGCAGATGTCGACAGCAAATCAGGCTCGTTGCCATACTCCCATGTGTAGAGCCGACGACGGGTGTACGACATTCCCCTGTTTGCAGCACCGTTGCTGGCAGTGGTTGTGTCATTGGCTGGTATCACCTCGGGGGCCAATGCATCGCATACCAACGGCACTGTGTCTAACAGGCTTTGCCACCCAGCCGGCGTCGTTGCCAGAGCTAGGTTGAAGCCGTGTGAGAAGCGCGTTCCAGGCAGTGTTCTGTAGCCTTCGAAGAAGGACGGGCCGATGTATACGGTCGTAGGATAGTCGGCCGAGCGCGAGAGGTTGAATGTGCCGTTGATTGCCCAGGGTAAGCTTGCATTGTAGAGCGCATAGTCCTGCGTGTTGCCCCTAGCCGAGTCAGTTTCGTTCCCAGGCTACTCTGCTCTCATTTTCCTCGTCGGTGGCTACTTACCCAACACGAATATACGGTTTCGAGCCCGTCAGTTCGCCCAGGTTACTTAGCAATGCATCGCTGAACGTGTTAGGCGCCGATTTGTTGCCTGCAAAGTCGGGAAACGAGGCGAACTCGATAGAGTAGCTGACGAAGGCATCGAGAAGGGGAGGGCCGGCACTGGCCGGGGCGGACGTCCTGAGATGGTAGACGGAGGCCCTTGCTGCTGCTGCCCACGCCAGAACTGAGGAGACACTCTTCATGTTCGCACTGCGCTGTGTCTTGCTACGTTTGAGGCCTTGTCGTTGTGTCTTTGAAGAATGATGGTTGTACACGCTGGAAGCCATCTTGCCTCAGAAGCCCTCTACACTAGTCAGCAGTTCTGCATGCCGATTATCCAGGCCGTCCCGTCGCCATCAATTGATCGTTTGGCGATATTGACCATGGTACAAACAGCATCTTGCCGCTCAAGTGCTCAACTTTTGTCCATTTGCGTTGCCATGCCAGCTCGCGGCCGGGTGAATTGGCTGTCGCCGCAGGCCTCGCCTGGACGGAGTCCATGTTTCCAAGAAGCCTAAAAACATGACCGAGCTGGCCACGCATGGCATAGATGATCAGTTTATATGTCGGGTAGATTGGCGGCAACAGGCAGCATTGGAATATCAAAGGTGGAGATCGTCACGTTGGTGATGTTGGTGCTACGGTTGGCGCATTCTAGCGGCACTGGGCGCTACTTCCGTGCTAGTATCCAGGTACGCAAGGGGAAAGACCACCGCAACAGGCAAAACGGCAGGAACGAGCTGTTGGTCCCGCGCGGTCAAGCTGAAGCCTCAGGGCCTCGCATCTTGCATCCTTGTTCGGCTATGTTGTCCGGGCTTGAAAGCTCTCTGGCTCTCGGCTATGTTGTCTGGGTCTGAAAGCTATCTACATACCTCGTTTGCAATACCCAATTCGGGACAAGGTTTACGAAGGCTAGGAATGTTCTGCTCTGCCCCGGTCCTCCGATCTGTCCTCCGGATGGATTCGATTTGTAACGGCAGGAACGAGTGACGAGATAAAACAGCCAGCTGGAAGGAAGCTTCGGGGTGACCACCGGAAAAGAAAGAAAGGCCTCTGCTCTTGCCATCCAGGAAGAGTCTTTGAGGCCATGCCCCAAGTTTTTGCCCAAATTCGGAAACTGCAGCCGACCAGCTGCCCCGGCTTGGGGTGGTGATTTAGCGTCAAAGCCAGCAGGAAAGAGCAACTGACTGGACGTCATCGAGCTGGCCCCTCTTTCGTTCAGTTGATTGTTCTCAGGGTGCTACCCCCGGGCGCCTCGGCGCCTTCGGTCTCCTGTGCCACTGCTCTTGCCATTCCTAGCTCCCCCACATTGGCGCTACTCGTTGTGCCTTCCGTCCATCTACGTTCCAATTTCGCCTTCATGACGCTGCGTCGTCCCTCGTCAACGTCTCTTCTCTCCTCTCTCTCCTCTTGTCCGATGCGCGTCTTCTCCACATTGATTTGTCTACCGGCACCTAAAGGATAAGCATTGCAGGCGGCTTACAGGCCAGTGTTCAATCCCCCAAAACCACCAACCAGTGGACTTGTTTAGCGGACCCTGCCCGCATTCTGACGCCGGCTCTCGGCACTCGATTGCTTGCGGCTTCGACAGACAAAAGAATAGCCGGCACCGACCACCACGTTAAATAGGTCGGGAATAGCATCCGCACATAAAAACAGAGCAGAGGGAGGCGAGAGAATAGAAACCGCGCAAGAAGCCATGGCAGCTCTGCGGTCTATCGTGCGTCTTTCTACTCTGCAAACATCTCGACTTGTTTCTCCTGCACGCCGTTCTTGCTTCCAACCTTTGGTATTTCCCACAATTCTCTCCAGAAACGCATCCAACATGGTCCCCAAGGTATGTTTTGTTTTGGCGTTTTGTTTCCAATACTGGCCCGGTTGCGTCTCGTCGTCTCCTGCTTAGCCTAACGCGCCTTTCCCTCCAGCTCAATGATCCGTCGTTGCTGAAGACGGGCGTCTGCTTTGTCAACGGCGAATGGGTCAAGGCCGGCTCCGGCAAGACCTTTGAGGTCAGCGACCCGGCCACCGGCAAGCTGATTGGTGTTGCGCCCGAGTTCGACACCAAGGACACCGAGGCGGCTGTTGCTGCCGCCGCCACGGCCTTCGAGACCTTCCGGCACAAGACCGGCCGCGAGCGGTCCAAGCTGCTGCGCAAGTGGTACGACCTTATGATGGAGAACGCCGACGACCTGGGCACTCTGATTACGTGGGAAAACGGCAAGCCGACGGCCGATGCGCGCGGTGAGGCTGTGTACGCTGCCAACTTCTTCGAGTGGTTCAGCGAGGAGGCGCCTCGCATCTACGGAGACACGATTCCCTCGACCGTCCCCGGCAACCGTGTGCATACGGTCAAGGAGCCCATTGGTGTCTGCGGCCTGATTACCCCGTGGAACTTCCCTGCCGCTATGATTACGCGCAAGGTCGGCCCTGCCTTGGCCGCTGGCTGCACGGTGGTCGTCAAGGCACCCGGCGAGACCCCCTTCACGGCCCTGGCGCTGGCCGAGCTCAGTGTTCGCGCCGGCATCCCGCCCGGCGTTGTCAACGTCGTGACGGCCCTCGAGAACACCCCCGAGGTCGGCCTGGTGCTGACCACGAACCCCACCATCCGCAAGATCTCCTTCACGGGCTCCACCAACGTCGGCAAGCTGCTGATGAAGCAGTGCTCGAGCACGCTGAAGAAGCTGTCCCTGGAGCTGGGCGGCAACGCGCCGTTCATTGTCTTTGACGATGCCGACCTGGACGCCGCCGTGGCCGGCGCCATCACGTCCAAGTTCCGCTCGTCGGGCCAGACCTGCGTGTGCGCCAACCGCATCTTTGTGCAGCGCGGCATCTACGACGCGTTCGCCGAGAAGTTTGCTGCCAAGGTGCGCGAGTTCCACGTCGGCAACGGCTTCGAGAAGGGCATCACCCACGGCCCCGTGATCCACGACCGCGCCGCCAAGAAGGCCTATGAGCACGTCCGCGACGCCGAAAAGCTCGGCGCCACGATCGTCGAGGGCGGCACCTTCCTGCCCGACATCGGCGCCAACTTCTTCGCGCCGACGGTCCTGACGGGCCTCAACCAGAAGATGCTGATTGCGCGCGAGGAGACGTTCGGGCCTGTCGCCGGCCTGTTCCCCTTCGACACGGAGGAGGAGGTTGTCCGCTACGCGAACAGCACCGAGGTCGGTCTCGCCGGCTACTTCTTCTCGCGCGACATTGAGCGCATCTACCGCGTGGCCGAGCACCTCGAGGTCGGCATGGTCGGCGTCAACACGGGCCTGATCTCGGAGCCTGCATCGCCTTTTGGCGGCGTCAAGGAGTCCGGGTTTGGCCGTGAGGGCTCTGCCTATGGCATTGAGGAGTACCAGATCACCAAGATGGTCACGACCGGTGGCTTGGGTAAGCCTCTCCAGTCGTAGGGAGTGGCAAAAACAATACAATAAAGATTACATCTTTGGTTGTCTCGTGGGCGTCTATTTAGTTTTATTTTGCCCGATAATGCAATTAGTTAGAAATCTGATCAATAGGCACTCAGCTTGCAATGTGATGTTGGAGCTTCACTGCGACAGCACGCTGTGCCACTATACGTATAGCGCGTTTAGCGTTTTGCAGCACAACTAAGCAGCCCACTTTTACCGGGGCAACTGCCCAATCAAGAGCCACCGTATTTTCTCTCAATTTTCACCGTCCTATTTTCGAGTCGAGTTTCGTGAAGGTACAACGAAGCTCTTTCGGGCCCTGCATTGAAGCCACATCGGACGACCACAACCACGACGACACAAACACGCAGACATACCCACGGACGCAACTGCGATTGGTGGGTGCAAGAGATATGCCTCGGCCGTCTTTGCGCTCTGCGCTGGGGCGGACCACGCGCAGCCAGTTGACGACGGCCTGCTATGGGGCATCCGGCGCTCGGGGCCCGTTGTCGATCGAGACGACGGCGTTTTTCTCCTCGACACCCTCCCAAGCAGTCCTCAAGAACGTGCGTGGCCGCCAGGACCGCCTGGCCGCAGCGGCATCCGAAGTCGGTTCCCTCAACGACAGCAGGAGCAACAACGCCACAGATACGACAAATACCACAAACAACAGCCGCAGGGGCGGCGCCCAATTGAATAACGGCGCGCCACGGTCGCGTGGGCCATCATATGCGGCGGGACGCGGCGGCGGCAACATCATCAACCTCCGCAGCCTGCCGCGGAATTCACGCGGCGGACCCCGTTTCGCTGCGAGCGCGCCAACGCCTCGCGTTATCTCAAACCCTGCCTTCCAGGCCAGCCCCGGCGGAGAGAACCTGCTTCGTGACCGAGGAGGCTTTGGGCGCGGCCGGGGCCAGGGCCGGGGCCGAGGCCGAGGACGGAGCGGGCAGGGGCGGAGTGACGAAAACGAAGAAGAGGTCCCGGGGGACGAAAAGGACACAGACCCTCTGGCTCCCGAGATCATTGAGTACCTTGCCCGACAAAAGATGGGCGAGTACTCGGACTTTGAGCCGCGTCTGACGCTCGAGGGTCTGCTGGGCTACCGGCCGGCCGTGGTCTCGACCGAAGGCGACGGCGCAGGCACCGTGGCGATGGCACTGCGCGAGATGCGCGTGCTGTCGGGCGGCGACGCCTTTGGCGGCAGCGAGGAGGAGGGCGCGTCGAGCATGACGTCGGTGCCCAACGTGCAGAGCCTGCGCGAGCGCCTGCACAACGGCGAGACGGTCTTCTTTGACACGGCGATGGAGCGGTCGATGGTGGAGAAGGCGCTGCGCTCGTCGAGGGTGCAGAAGTGGCTGGCGAACAAGAAGCTGCCTGCCGACACGCCGCTTGTGGCACCGCTCAGCGAGGCCACCAAGGAGGTGATTGTGGACGCGGCGATTCGCGGCGCGTACGACACCGACACGGCCAAGAACGGCACGCTGCTGCAGACGCTGCACCGGTACCAGGGCAAGGACTACACGTACACTGAGCAGCACAAGCGCCAGTTTGATGCCAAGATCCTCGAACTGCTGCCCGATGCCGGCCACAAGGTGGCGAAGACGGCAACGGCATGAGGAGGGAGACAGAAGAAGAGAAGGGGCAAGTCGATTGTGAAATGTAGTAAAACGAGATGCTTGTATATTTCTGGTTGTTTCTCCTTCCCACCCACCACCCAAAAAAAACCTGTTTACTCGCCAAACGATGTATCAATGTACAATACAAAGCCAAACTTTTCATTTCAATTTTTGAATAATTTACATTGCCATGTCGGTGTGTGATGGCGTCTCTAGATGACCCTTCTGTGAGACCTGCGCTCTCCTTGTAACGATTGTGACCACCCTCTACCGCTTGTTGATCCGTTCGGCGTGCTTGGCCGCGTCCTTCTCGGTCGCGTCCACCTTGGCCATGCGCTTGTCCTGGCCCTTGAGCAGCTCGCGGTCCAGGCGGAACAGGTCGTCCGGCTGCACAGACTTGTCCTTCTTCCAGCCCTGGTGTATCTTTTGCCGGCGCGTCGTGGCCTTGCGCAGGTCCGTCCGCCATGCATTGGCCAGGTCGTGGACGCGCCGCAGGCGCTCTGCCGCGGCGGCGGCCGACGACGTCGTCTTGTCGTTGGCGCCGCCCAGTCTGATCAGCAGCACGAGCTCGTCGTTGGGGTCGGGCTGCGGCTGCTGGCCCTGGAAGAGCGGGTTGCTCTGCACGGCGCTCGTGATGGCCTTGCGGCTCGCCGGGTTGTGCATGCGCAGCTCGACGACGCGGCCGCCGGCGCGCGGGATGACGAGGGCCAGCTGGCTTAGCGGCACCTCGTCGCCGGCCTCATCACCGCTCTTCTGCACCACCCGCGTCTTGCCAATGGTGTCCACGTCCACGCCGCCCTCGCCGTCGCCCGCGCCGCCGCCGCCGCTCAGCGACCGCTTGAGCTCCTTGAACTTTTCTAGGTAGTGCACTTCGGTGCGCTGCCAGCGCGACTCCGTGTCCTCAAAGTTGAAGGCGTCGGCCGCCTTGGGCGCCGGGTGGTTGCCGCCGTCCGCGTGGTCGTCGTCTTCCGTCACCTTCTTCTTCTTGCACGGGACAGCCGTCTGAGAGAAGCTGCGCTGCGCGGCGGCAACGGAGCGGTTTGGGTAGGCGCTCGTCGAAGTGGGCGTCGCCCGCAGGGTAATGGAGACACCGGCAGCCGGGGCGAGTGTTCGCGAAGCGACAATGGCACTGTTTTGCAGAAAACGGCAGCTGTTAGAGACAAGGTGACAAAAGCATAAACGCAACTGCGAGGTCCAATTTGGCCATGGCCTTGAGAGCTTACCTTGCTGAGCGGCCGAGGCCAACTGCGCTGCGCTGGACCAGCCTCTGAACTGCTGCTGCACTGTGCATCTTGGGTGGTGGCTGTGCCTTGTCTTGCGCAGTGTGAACCAACTTGGTGAAGTGTTGTCGATGTTGTGCGTTTGAAGCTCCTGGTTACGATTTTGCGGGGGTTGGAGCTATGGTAAGAGCCCACTGCGGGGTGTAGTTCATATAGTGACATAGTTGAAAATTTTTATTATACTGATCGTGTGGCCTAGTGGTTAGGGCATGTCCTTTACAGTCGTAAAACTTTAATGCTGATCGGATGGGATCGCAGGTTCGACCCCTGCCACGATCATAGTATCGTCTTTTTTTTTTTTTGAATCTTTTCTTTTCTTTTTTATTTTTTTCTTTTGCAACTGCAGTTAAAGAACTTTTGAGTCTAATATAGCTGATTTTTCTAATTCTTAATGGTATCTTAGTCATAAATACTCCAATTCCATGTCTCCATGCCCATGCCGACGACAAGAGCAGAAATACTGCCAGATGCGCTTCCATCACCTTCAATGCTTTCCACGTCACCAGGATCAGCAATGGCGCTGTAACGGTCGTCCAGAAGCTGTATGCGGGCCGTGCTCGCCGCACTCGTGCTCCCCGGATGCGACATGATAACTCTCCATGCTTTGAGCCTCTGGTCGTTGCTGCAGGTAACCGCTGTGAAGCTGGAATTGCCCGTCTTCCCCCACGCCTCGTTGATCAGAATTTTGGCTCCGGTCACGGCGGCGGCATGAGCACTGGGCACGCGGAATGTCTTGTCAAACGCGTAGGTGACGCTGTTGTCGCCATGGACGATTGCGCCAAGGACCGTGACCGCTATTGCGTTGTCGTCGCCGCCGGTAAAAATGGCCCTCCGAGATTCGGTATCATCTTGGCCGGTCGAGACAAGGTCAAGAGACTTGACTGCACTTTGATGCGTCCTGGTCGAACACAAGAGCAAGTAGTCGTCGTATAGAATAGACTCGTGTCCTCCGGCCGCCTCCTGCGCCTCTGGAGCTGCTCTCCACACGGTCAAATGTCCATCGGCAAACGCCGCCAGCACCACGAGATCACCTCCGCGCCGCAACGACAGGTGGCGCAGCTGTGTCGGACAGGCCCCTGTGTAGTGGCCCTGGGACAGCAGCTGCCAGCCGCTGGCGGCGGCATAACGGTACGTCTTGAGGACCGAGTTGGACAGTGCGACCGAGATGAACATGGCGCTGCCATCGTTGTCGCTTGGGTCGAGACTCGCATCGAGGCCAATGATGCGCAGGATCTTGTCGTCCGTGCTGTCGGGATACGATGATTCGCAAAGTACGGCCAAGCCGTCGTATGACGAGTCGGCCATTGTCGATACCCGCCAGATGAAGAGTTCTTCGGAGCCGGCAGCGCTGATCAGGCAGTCATCGCCGAGCCAGGCCAGGCTGTGGAGGCCAGTGTTGTGTCGTTTCAGCACGGAAAGGCAACGTCTCTCCATCGCCGATGATGAGGTTGCTACACTGTTACCACCCGTCTGTGGGTTGTTCCATATGCGAACAACGGTGTCCTCGCCGCCGGTCGCGATATACTTGCCGCTGGCGCTGGCACGAACAGAACGAATCTCTCGACCGTGGCCACCGGTCTTGAGCGGCACGGTGACGCATACATCTTGCGCAAACACGTGCAGCTCGGACTGACGCGTAAATGCGAAACGTATTCTACCCGCGCTCGTCGTCGACTTGTTTCCGTTGGCCCTCCCATAGAGGTATGTATGGGTGCGGTGCGTGCCCCCGCAGTCGACCGCTGCAAGCTCTTGCTGGCGCGTTTCGTTCCAGACGACGAAATGTGTGCTTCGAAAGCCACACACGACAAGCTCGGGAGGCTCGTCTGGCGTTCCGCTTTGGATGAACCAAGCATCCCGGACAATGGGGCCGAACGGCGTGGCTGTCTCGTGCTGCAGGCATATGGAGGGGTTACCGGTGCAGCTTTCGACGATGGTGCAGATGCGGTACATGCCGTCGCGGGCTGTCACGACAAAGGAGGCAGACGATAGGGGAGGCTGGCCAGGTCGTGGAGGGAGTGGGACAATCGAGAGGATCGCGTCTCGGGTCCGTGTCTGGAACTGCGTCGCCAACACAAATGTCGCGGCCGCATTACCGCCGTCGCTCTCTACTGGCTTGTACAGGCACAGTTGTCCATTTCGGGAACCCAGCACAATGTACTCCAAGCACCGGCTTGCAGTTGTGATGACCATAGCCGCAGGTGAAGCCGGAACTTTGGTGGGCAGCTTCATCGATCTCGTGCTCTCGGACACCAGTGCGCCGCTGGACACGTCAATCGTCAAATCCAGAAGGGTAGCCTCATCTCGGAACAGAGTTGTCGCAATGACACCAAGATAAAATAAGGAGCCGCCCACAGCGTTGACGGCGGATATATCGTCCGCCGTATGCGGAAGGAAGAAGATCTCGTCCACCTTTCCAGGGAGGGTGGCAGTAAGTCTCTGCAGCCCGCCTCGTCTCGAGTACAGAAACAGGTGGCCGGTTGCGTTTCCAACAATGGCGAGCCCATCAGCACCGGGACTCGTTGCCACACCGCTGCCACCGTCGCCTAGCGGGCTGCGAACAACGTTGTAGTCTTTCAATGACAGTGTAGTGTCATCCGAAACGCCGGGCAGCTCGATCCACTCGAGCCTTGCTGTTTCGCTGCTTGTGTAGCGGAGGTCGCCGCGCAGAAGCCTTCCCTGAGTCGTGGCGGCTAGCAGCTGATCATCCGACAAAAAAGCATAGCTATTAAACAACTCCTCGCGGATCTTCATCGTCTTCGCTTTCGACTTCTTTTTCGGCACGGATTCTCCTTCCTCTTCTTGTGTGGCAGGAGGAGGGGGTGGCGGTGATGGTTGAGGATGCACTTTTGTGTCTACGCTGCCAACCCGTGAAGGAATCTTTGAAGAAGAAATGGTGCCCGACAGAAGTGTGGCGAGTTGGGTGCCTTGGGATGCGACAGGCTGTGGTTCGCTATGGCGACCTTCGAAGAGCCATATCTTTCCATCGCAACCGCCAGTTGCAATAAGAGGGCCTCGCGGCAATCGCACACCATGACATGCCTTGGGAAAGACAGCCGCCGACCAAATGTTCTTTCCAACATGTGATGAAAAGGTGCGTAAATGCACCAATTTCCCGCTGAAGCTGGGCTTGTCTTCTATGCGCGGGTTGAGACCCAATTCAAGCCGCCATTCTTGAGCCGTGGCGTCTTCACCAAACGAATAAAGAAGCAAGTTGCCGTCCTGAGCTGCCGCTGCCGAAAATTCACCAAATCGCACATGCCAGATGCGCGAAGCGTGTGCCATGACGGAAGCCAGCGCGGGCGACGAAGACGGTGTCGATGGTACCGGAAGGTCTGTGCTTTGGAGATACTGCTTCTTGACCGCCGTCCGAGGTTGTGGGTTTGCACCGTTGGGCGGCTCATCGGTCCGCCGGGCCAGCCCTTTGAAAGTATTCTGGAAACCAGTCTCACGGGCCATGTTCGTCGCGGGCGCACCGACCACCTTTGCACCGCCGTCCGCCTCATTGCTGCCGCTGTCTAGGTACAAAGGCCATATACATATTGTGCGGTCGTCGCTGCAGCTTGCCAGCAACCGGACCCGTCTTTGCGGCGCGGGTTCTGCCCCGCGGCCCACCAAATCGCTCGTGCGTAGCTCCGGCGACACGACGACATCAAAGATGGAGCCCTCGTGGCCCGTAAACACGTCGAGGACGTCAATCCCAAGGTCTGTTTGGCGGGCATTGTCCGTTGTAGGAAGCTGACACGTCCAGACCACGATCTCGCCAAACACGGTGCCTGCCACAACGAGCAGGCGTTCGTCTCCTTCACTGCCGACCGTGCTCTTGTCGCTGCCCGCCCAGGCCAGCTGGGCAGAGTATAGCACTGGTCGAGATGGTGAGATGGGCGCGCCGAAGCGGATCAAACCGCTCTGTTCCACCCACAATGGCAGTATCTCATTGTGCGCCGTGACCAGCGCACCTGCATGCCTTCCATCAAGTCCCTTTGAGGCACGGCGGCGCGGCAAAAGGCCGTCGTAAATCCAGTCTGGTGCCAGGACCTCGTTCACCACGGGGTGCCTTGGACTGGCTTCGTCTGCTACTCTGTCCCCAGCCGTGGCTGCCAAGATTTGGGCAATGTGCTCCCGGCCGACAATTGCCACAGACCGGCCGCCCCAGACGAGAACAGCATCGTCTTCGTCGCCACCATCCTCACCATCTCGACGTCCCACCCGGCATCCTTGGATAGGCTGCTCGGAAAAGATGCGGAGCCGGCCATAACAGCGACGGCCGGACAGGGAGTCAGATCCTGGTGCAAGTCGAGCGTCGCCTTCCAAGGCACCGTAGACGGCGAGCCAGCCGTCTTCCCCCGCAAGCACAAACAGGGAGGGGCTCTCTGTTGAACAAGCGTTCTGTCGAAAGCGGTAGAATGCGAGAGCGGTGACAGGGCACAAGACGGATGCTTCGTCGCGTTGAAGTTGGCGGGGAGCAGCAGGCATCTGGTTGCGTGTTGATTGCTGCTGGGCCTCAGGGGTCAACGTGGCGGCAGCCATGGCAGCAGGTACCACCCCGCCAAAACGGGGTTTGTGATCTCAGGGAAAGAGAGATCCTGCCCGCTGTAGCCTTTTGAGTTGAAATTGGTGTCTGGAGACTTTATACGGCCATATTGATGAGTGGAAGGTGCGATGGTGGCATAAGAGGAAACCCAAATATGAAAGAGCGACTTTGGGCTCCTTCCTGTATTGTGTGCCTTTTTTTGGCGTGTCGTTGATTTTTTTTCTCACGACACTAACTTGGGCGCTGTGGTTCTGTAGCTACAGGTGTCCACTACGACACTACACACAATCCCAGCACCACCTCAAGTTTCGTGCGGAAGAGAAATCACGTTTCTCGAAAACTATGATACCATCGCCCGGTGTTCTTATATTTTGAGTTAGCATCTTAGAATCACAACTCATTCCCGAGCCATTGTTGACGAATTTGCGATTGGAAATGTACTTTGGTAGTCACGTGCGGCTCTCACCGGGTAACCTTGCAAGACTTTCTGTATGTAGTGTCATTATGGTATCAACAGTTAACAAATGTCTGTGTTTTGCATTTTTCCACTTCTACGGCTCATGGCAACTTGCCGTCTCCGGAAGAAGCAGGGTATACAAAGAACAATATATAAAAATAGTTTCTATCGTCGTTACCCAGTCATGGACGAGCAAATATAAAAAAGAAAAAAGTCCACATCCAGCCCCTCATAAGGTAACAGATAAAAAACAACATAAATCGAAAGTAGCAAAAATCGAAAATCGAATCTTTCCAGATAAAACGCCGTTGATGCAGACATCAAATAAGCTGAGGGACGCAAAAATAAGCAAAATAGGTGGGTGTAGGAGGGAAGCGTGCGAGGGAGTGCGAAGAGACGCCGGCAGACGCCGGTCTCCCCTGGGGAGCTTTTCATGTGAAAGACAAAAGCCGAAAGTCAAACAGGCCGGCGGGCGTTTGTTTACACGCGCGAGTGCGAGTACGGCTCGTAGGCCAGATCCGAGCGACCACCCTGCGGGTACCGCGGGGCGCCGTACTGCGGAGCGTAGGCGTTGGCATTGTTGTACATGCCACCGTTGCTGGGGTCGTTGAGCGGCTGGTACGACGAGCTCGGCGGGATGGACTTGTCGTCCAGGTGGCGCGGGCCGTAGCGGTCGCGACGGCTCTCGGGGCTGCAGCAGCAGACCGTGAACATCCAGAAGAAGGAGGCCGCGATGGCGGCGGCGGCCGAGATCCAGACGGCAACTAGGAAACGACTGTTGGCCGAGGCATCGACGCCGTACTTGTTGGCCTCGGCCTTGATCGCGGCGACGACGACAATGGACATGGCGGTCGCCAGGCCGGCAGCGCCGACGACGGCGACGACCGTGATGCTGGCGATGAGGAAGGTCACGCAGGCAACACCGCGGCTGCAGGCCGTGAAGAGACCAAAGATAATCTCCAGTGCCAGAGCGCCAAAGGCGATGATAAAGACGACCTGGGTCCATTTCGCGAGGGTGCCAAACACCTTGATGGCGTTGGTGATGTCCTTGGGGATCTTCAGGTCGGTGCCCGTGGAGCTGATGAGGCTGGTGACGGAGTTCTCCGAGTTGTTGAGCGTCTTCTCGGCCCAGTTGAACTCGGGCTTGGAGCAGGTGCGCGTGCCGTTCTGCTCCTTGACACAGTAGTTCCACAGGCCAATGTCGTACAGGTTGCCGAGGGCCAGGTCGGCAGCGGTGATGTTGCCCGACGGCACGCCGCCGGCCGTGGCCTTCTCACTGGCACCATCCGTCGTGCCCGAGGTGGCGCTGTTGGCATCGGATTTGCCGCTGTCGGTCAGCAGGCTGGGGTCGTGGAAGCCAACCGAAGCACGGGCGACCGAGGCGTCGTGGAAGCCGACTGGCGCGGGCGCGGCAGCACGAGCAAGGGGGGCGGCAACAATGGGGACGGCAGCACGGGTGTCCAGAGCAGCGCCGTTCGACACCGCACGACTCAGAATGTTTACCGCATCGGCGGGGCTGACAGACAGCGCAGTGGTGTTCACCTCGAACATGTACAGGTTCTTGTCGGCGACACCGGCAAGAGCGGCCACGAGCAGGGCCGCGATGCTGATGACAGCCAGCACAAAAGGCAGGGCCACGCAGACGACACGTCCACAAGACACCATTTTGGCGGTTCGGGGATGTCGGTTGTGTTGGCGATGAGACGACAAGGCGGAGGACGAGCCCACGGCTTTTTTCAGCGGGCGCGGCGGAAGAGGCGGGCTAAAGGTGCGCGCGAAAGAAGCGAGCCTCGAGGTATAGGACGGTGGCGATGTGGAGCGGCTGGTGATGTCCTTATCCTTATCCTGTGGAGGCGGAAGTGGTGAAAATGGGGGTCTCCGGTGGTTGTGGACGCTGTAGTGGGCGGGTTTGGGAGGAGCCGGCGGTGGAAACGAAGCGAGTGGATCGGCGCCGCTGTTGACTGCAAAATGAGGTCGAAGTCGAGATCGCGGAGGAAGAAAGGGTAAGGGTGGTGAGGCGGCGGCGTGTTGGGTGGGCGAGTGCGAGGGCGGCGATGAGTCGTGAGAAGACTCGGAGGAGACAGACGACTCGGACTGGCTGGACACCTGGCGACTGACGGGACTCACAGAAACGAAAGTGGGCGAAGAAGAAACGGCGGGAAGATGACGAGGAGCAAAAGCAGGCGATGGGCGAGAGCGTCGGGGAGGGGGCTGCTCATAAATACGGGAAGAAGGGGAGGTGAGACCGAAGGAAGTGGCAGGGGGCGCGGCCTGGCGAGCCTGGTTCGCCTGAGTCGCACCTGCTGTGCGCGGCGTGGAAAATGTGGGAGCCTGAGACCGCGCGAGGAGCAGGGAATCGGCCTTGTCGAGGAAAGCGGACCTGGCTTGGTGTTGATGGTGGTCGCGGTGGTGGTGGCGGTGATTCGAGTGCTGTTCCTGCCCGTTTAGCTGGCTGGGCAGGCTCTGAAGACCAGTGGCGTGGCGCAGGGCGTGGCCGCCAGTTGGTGGATCTGCACAGGAGCGATCGCCCGACATGGCCTAGCGTATGTGTTGCTCAGCCCCTGCTTGGCTCTGGAGAAGGAAGGAGTAGCTGCGTGCGGGACAGGAAACAGCAACACAGGAGACCAGTGAAGGAACGTAGGGACTAGGGGTGCTTCAGGGGTCTTGCGTGCAAAATGGACTGTGTGCGGGTTGATTTCGACTTTGGGTGCTTTGGCTTCGCCGTGCACAGCGCGTTCGTGCAGGGTATTGTAATTTCAATTTGGCAGCGCGGGTGGTCGCGAGGCGCATTTTTGGTGCGAAACTATCCAAGGGGTTTGAAGGAGCAGGTCGCATCCGTCGTATCTTACGGACGATGGCTCTCATGGCAGACTCTCTCTCGACAAGCAGACAGAACAGTGTGTTTTTGTCCTTCACTGGGAGCAGCGAGTTTGGAGACACAAAACAAACAAAACAAAGAAAGCTGTCGATGAAGTTGTTGATGCTGGCAACGCTCAGCAAAGGTCGACAAAGTCGACGATTATACAGCGAATATATCTTACAGCGTTGGTGCAGCAGCCGGGCGTCGCCAGGGCATCTTGACGGATGCCACTTCTGGGCGAATTTGGAGCATCATGCAGTGTAATTGCGCGGGTTCGAAGCTGACGGTTCGTGGACCCGTCATCCTGTCATGGACACTAGAGCCAACAAATCAGCCCAGGCCAGGCACAGGGGGTACTTTACGTGGTTGAAACAGCTCTAAGATATCTTACATGTGCATGTACCAAATACAAGTCTACGAATTACCAACCTGTCCGAAGTATTTCGTATTAACTCGGCCCTGGCCAGGCCTGGCCTGATCTAGCTCTGCCAACGATGGGTTAGTGTGTCAAGAAACTTGTGAGGTGTGCATTGCGAGAGCTAAACATATGCATTCCGCACGAGGGCTGAAAGTACTCCGCACAACCATACGTCGTACTCGTCCGTATCTCGCGTTGGCGCTGCCCTCAATTGGGTAATTACAGGCCCAAGGAAGGGAAATAGCTGTCGAAGAAAATATACGGCGGGTACGGCTTGCACGTCCAGGATGTCAGCCAGAAGAGAGAAAAAAAGGAGGAGATCGATCAACAGCTTCCCTCAAGAAAAAAAAGTGCTGACAGGGAACGCAGCCAATCTCCTTCGACAGGCGTTGGGGCCAGGCCAGGGTCCCGGCACGGTGTCATTTGGATTTCCTTCCTTCTTCCTCCTTCCTCCTTCCTTCTTCCTTTCTCCGTTGTCGCTTGTTGCTGTCCTCGTTTGCGCTGGATTGCGCCGTGAACCAGCAGAAAGCAACCAGCAATATCATCCAGCATAAACAAACATTTCAGTTGGTTCACCCAGCGTCAAGCATCTCCCAGCCTGGCCAGTTCCAAGACGCATTGCGTCACCCCTGACGACAAACAAATAGGCTGTTGCCACCAGAACACGGGAAAATCTGAGGCAGCTTGCGAGCAGCGCCACTAGGGAAAGACACGACTTGACGCGTGGATAGTTGGCTCGGCTGGCCTTGTAGAATATGTACGTATCTTTTGCCAAGTTAAAAGGTGAAGCACAAAAAGAAAAGGAAAAAGAAAAGAGGAACCTGCTCGTCTGCCGAGAATCGACACGTAAGATCTGCCTCTTCTACCTCCCTTCGCCGGCGGTGGAGGTTGCGCGATAAAGAAACAAACGACAAGAACGAAATGCGGTTTAGGTCAAGGGTCCATGAGCGTCGTCGCCGGTCGTGTCTTCAATGCTCTTGACAGTCGCAAAATGAAGCAGACAAAGTCACAATACGGAGTAGGAACGTCGTAATAGGGCGTCGGAAACAGAGGGCAGAGTGGGAAAGAGGCTCAGCGTATTGCGTCGTTCCTTTCGCATGGACACAGTACTGTGGGGCAACCGTTTGGTGAGCCACAAAAAAGCTGGAAACCACGTCAGTGGTGAAACAAACCGCTGCAGGACTCGCTCTGCTCCTAGCGACTGGCAAAAAAGAAACAAAAAATAGAAACGTGGCGCGCGCAGCACCCACCCATGCGAGCCTTATTCGGCGTGGCTGGGGATTTCCCGCTTTTCCTCTTCGCCTTTTCGCCGGGCTGCACTTGTTCTAGCGGGGCTGCTCGCCGCTCCTAATTTTAGAAACAGGCGAAGCCACAGGGAATACAGTGGGATGGAAGGGGGAAGGATGTCCTTATGTCAGCTACGTAGTCTGGCAGTCCCTCCGTTGCTCTTCTCCACTTTTTTGGCCTGAGCAGTCGAAGTGCAAGCTTTCTCTACTCTCTTTTCTTGCGCTCCATCAAATACGTCGTTTGCCAACAACTGCCCATTCGATCGTGGGAGCCATTGTCGTTCAGGCTTGCCCCGCGCGAGACAGTTCTCGGTGCAGACGACCAAACCAATCAATGCGGCGCACAACGTCTCGCACTAACCCCGGGCAACGATACGGGTTATGCAGTCTGCACGATGCCACTTTGAATGACGTTGTCCCGGCAAGGCGGATTGAGACTTTACTTCTTTGAGAACAGTCACAGGTTGGTCGTCGGCGACAAGAATAGAAACACTGCGGAGAATCTGCCAGCGGAAGTGGAAGCAAACGTTTAAAAAGCAGTCGAGCCTCGCCCCTCTTAGTTACGCTGTGAAGTCGCCTCGTAGTATGTTGTACAGGCAGTGCAATACTCGTATGTGGCCTGGTCTCCGGGTTAACGTTATCACGTCTTGGTAGTGCTCTGTGCCGGCAGGGAGGCACAACCTTTGAGAACAACACGACATAGCAACTCGTGGCGTGATGATGCGATAAAAGGCTTTGTAGGTCTGGGGCACAACTTTCACCCGTCCAAGTGCATACTCATATTCGTCCCGCATCTGACTCTTAGGGACGTTGCTTACTCTTCAAGACATCCGACGTACGGCGGCAGCAGCTGCATACTCCTCACACTCACAAGCCGTTGCCGGTCCTCTTCTCGTTGCACAGCAGCCATGGCAGGAATAACGGGCCAGGCCTCCCCTCTCCCTCCCCCTGTGCATGTAGATCCCACATATTGCAAACTCACGGTCCATCCCTCGCCGCATCGTTACGACGTACTACGCTTATTGTTCATATCTCGAGAGTAATTGTGTCCCGTTGTACGTTGACGTGCATTATCGTGCTGTAGGCTTGGCCCTGGCCCTCCTGTTTCTAGTCTCTGGGTCTCTTCTCGTCTCGGCAGCTTGCACTGCCAAGCTCCAGCCGGGAAGAAGGTGTGGTGATACGAAAACACACAGTGAAGCTTGGCCTGTGGTGTTGCGTCGACAGGAAATGCTTGTCTGCTTCTCGTGCCAGTGCTGCCATGGATTTCGGCATGTGTCCTGTCATGAGTGAACGAAATGGTTTCTCCTCGTCTGGAATAACACCATCGCCAGCAGCGCCTCTACAAGTAAACTGTCGTCCTTTTATGAACCTCCGGACGACCTTTCAATAAGCAGCATCCATGGCGTGCGGTCAGAGGTTTGTGAGGCTTCCGGGAGTGTAGACGGTCTCGAACAAACTGACGCTGAGAGTGCAGAGGCACCGGAACGCTTCAACATGGTTGTGCACTCTTGGCGTCGTGTTTGAGCGCCACAAACGGCTTCTTCTGTTTTTTGACGTGTGGCCAGAGTGTCGTCTGTGGTTGGGTGACGCTGTGTTCCGGACAAGAGCGTACAGGATCAGGCCGCGGTCCGCGGAGCTTGGCACAGAGCCCCGATTTGTAACATCGCTGGTGGCAGCACGGCGTCCACCCTTTGCCTGGCAATTCGTCCATCGGCGAGTTGATGCGCGCTCCACTTGGGGGCCAGGACAGGGTCCCGGGCAGGCACGGGGCCAGGCTGGCGTCCGGCGCGTTTCTGCGAATCGTGGTTTCCCACACACAGACAAGATCCAGCCAACGGCCCTTCCTTGGACTATCGCAACGCACCTTCCTGCAGTGACGAAAGCGGGAGAGAAAAGGCGCAAGAAAATAGGAAGCAGGTAAAAAAAAGCGCCCAAAGAGGCAAGCACAGTCTCGTCCTTATGTCGGTGAAGGGACAACAGAGCACGTGTGGCATGATGCCCAATGGGCAAGAGCAAGACACCTGCAGCCTGCATCCCCCATCGTCCCTGCCCCGGTCGGTGACAAACTCTGCCTCTCACGGGACCAGCTTTTTGTCGTTGTCTGTGGTCGTTTCCCCCCCTTTTCTGTCTTCTGCATCCAAGTCCTGCATCTTCTCTGCTTCCCCTTGCTTTTCTCTGCTCATCGACCCCCCCTTAATGCAGCCCCAATTGCTGCATCCCACGTACTGCGTCTCCCACATACGTTGGAGTCTCACCACCTACAGCCTTGCACCCCCAACGGCAGCGATTTGCGGGGGTTCGCAGCGGTCGCTTTTCTCCGCAGTTCGGTCCCTTCTCGCATTGTTTTGACGTCTTCTTGTCTCGGACCCTTTTTGTTTCTCGAATTTCGTTGTTCTCCCTTCTTCTTTCAATCTCGTTTTCGGCAGGCTTCGTAGTTTCGACCTACCGTCGTCTCAAGCTCCATTCATCAATCCAAATCCCCTATCTTCCTTCACTCTTTGTCAAATCGGGAGACAGCACGGAAGACTCTGGAACGCCGAGGAACATTGGCGGCCTGTCAGGCTCTTTTCCAGCCTCGAATTCAAGCTCACGCAAGCCTTGTCAAGCTCAAAACCTTGTTTCCGGCTCGTCTTAAACGCGCGCCGTCCTCACTGCCCACGATCGATATCTCGCCCAGTACAGCTTGGCCGCTCCGCGGCGTTCGCCTTTAGCTTGATACACCTGCCATCACCTTGCAAAGCCAAAGCACCCCTGCTCCTTCAGCGACGGTGCCGTGTTTGTTCTCGACCAGTCTTTGATGGCCACGGCCAGACCATTTGAGCTCCATCCAGCTTGACCCCCAGCCAGCCTATCTCCAACCTGTCCACTCACACGCCGTTTTCCAGCCAAGGACCGCACACCCACCATTGTGCTCACTACCTACTTTGCGTCGCCAAGGAGCCTCTTTTCTTGGGTTATCATCCTCCTGCCCGTGGCGCTGCATCTCATGAGACTTGTGTGCCGGCCAGCACGCTTGTCAACGCTGCCTTTGTCAGTTTAGCTCGTCCTAGATTTTCTTTCTTTTTTTGGAATCAGATCCTCGAACCTGCATTCATCCTATATTACTGTCGAGTTGCCCTCGATCAAGTCAGTACGAAGTACACACCGCCTGCACTCGGCCCCGGTCCGCGGTCCCCGCAAGTACTCCCGGATCGACATCACCAAGTGCACGCGAAAACACCTCCGCAGCGCCAAGCCACGGTGTTGCAGGAAATAGATACGTCTTGCTCCGTACAAAAAGACACCCGCGCCTCCCCACGGCCCATCTTCTATCACCAGCCCAGTGTCGGCATACTCATCGCTCCTCTGACACGACGCGCTCTCAATCTCTCGCAGCCTTGACCTGGTCTGTCCTCTGTCATCAATAACGACCAACAATACAAACAGCTCATCGCCGGCGCTGGTTGGCCGCGGTCGTCTCGGACAACAAACGTGGCCAAATACGGACCGAAGAAAGAAAAGATACAAGGCGCCGATACAATCTGACCTAAGATAGCGACGAAACTAGAGATACGCCGTACTCCTACGCCAAGCCGTGCCCAGACCTCCTCCTCTTCCGACGGCGTGGCTACCCGCCTTGAAGGCCGTCATCTCTCAGGTCGGTAACGCTCCCCATCCACCCCTTACTCGCCGCACCTTTGACCAAGTGCGACTGTCTTTAATCTTGTGTCTTTCTCGTGCGTTCGTCTGCCTTCTTCTGTTTGTGCGCTTTTCTACTCCTCTCTTCTCCTCTTTATTCCTCCCCCGTCGCTCTACATCCTCGGTTTTCTCCAATCTTCGCCGTCTTCACTCTCTTCGCGACCATCAATCTGCACCACCCTCGTTCGTCTTACTTTTCGCCTTCCATTTGTGGGCTCACCGTCAGACGTCCTGCACATAGCGTAAAGCCTCTGCCTGCTACACGACGGCAATACGCTCTTAACATCATTCCTTCGGACCCGTGTCGGCCGGCCATTGCTCAGACCGAAACCTCCGACACCGACGACCGATGTAGCTTAAGAGTCGCAAGGCCCGCTTTTCACTGCGCTACTAGGATTACCCAGCGCGCGTCTTCGTTGCGCCTGTCCCGGATTCCCTGCCAGTGCATGTGCCCAAAGTCCTGCGTCAGAGCGACAAAAAATACATCACAAAAGAGAGAGAAAAACTCCGTCACATACTACCTCACATCCTCCCATCGCACAACCCAGCGAAACAGGCCCCTTGCATCACCTTTTCACCTTTTTGAGTCCTGTGTCTTTGACTCGTTCCTGGAACTGGAAACTCCATCGCGGGCTCAGTCTCAGATACAATTCGAGCCTTATGCCCCATTCCCCTCTCTCCCTCCGTTAACGCCCCACGCCCTCGGCGCCGCTCCCCTCTAAATCCGACTCGGTGGCAAAATCTGGAACTTTTGCTGACTTAGAAGAATCTCGACCACTCTTCTTTTGCATCTCAGCTGCTTTGACCCTTTCACCCCTCACATCCTCGTTTTTTCGAGCTTGCTTATCCAATTGCATCGCTCTCTCTATCCCCGACGACACATCACGACCTATCGCTCGTACATTTCCACGGCGCATCCAGATCTTCTGCTCAGACACAGATCCAACCTGCGACATCCTCCTCAGCGTCGACGAGTCACCTGCTGAACGTAGTCACCAGCCAGAAACCTACCCTGCCAGTTTCTTCATCCTCCACCCACAACGCCCGTCGCTCGTTTTTCTAAATCGCGCTCTTCAACCTCGTCACCGCTGTTGTTTGTCGTTTTATTCGTATTTCTCGACTTTCTCGTCTTCGCCGCTTCGCTGCTTCGAGCGAATACGCATATTTTTTTTCAGCCGCCGTCTTAGCCGACCCTTTCCCCAGTCGTCCACCACGGCATCCTTATCGCCACCCCATCCTCTCGCAACCCGCCTCATAGCGCTGGTACTCTTTTCTCACCTGTTACATCCCCCATAGTATTACGACCGACTCTTACGCCGGAAAGAGGGCAACAAAGTCCGCAAAGCTGATTAGGTGGCTTTGCGTCCCGTTTGCTCTCTCTCGCCCCTTCTCGATCGTTTTTGAGGGTTACTGCCGGCCCTCCTATCTAGGACATTCTCCTATACCAGACCAGAGCAGGTGTTCAACGACAGACCGTTCTCGCTCCATCTTTCCATCTCGCCTCTTTCTTCCCCTCCTCCTCCGGCAACATGGGAAACCAGGGTTCGAAGGAAAGCGGCGGGGCGTCCTCCAAGTCGTCCGGGCCCGATGGCCTGCAGTCGTACCCTTCGTTCAGCCGATCCGATACGAAAGACTCCACCCGGTCGTTCAAGTCGCTTCGATCTAAGATTCCCGGGGGCGGCAAAAACGACAGCCCACGGTCCTCCACCATCCTCAGTAACACCGATGCGTCCGTCGAGAGATCTGATGCAAGCTCCATCAAATCCAACCGAGCCAGCCGGTCATCCCTACCACCACTCGCGCGGCTAAATCGCAGTGACTCAGCTTCGTCTCCGACATCTGTTTCGTCGTCCATCGACTCAGCGCACGTCAAACCCTCCTCGTCGTTTAACGAGCTCCAACCACCGCCGTCTCCCATCCAATCTGCATCCATGAAGGCCGGAAAGCACAATGTGAGCGCCGCCCAGGCCAACGGCGAAGTCGGCCATGTTTCCGAATCGCCGCCCGCCGACGCTGCGCCGGATCCGAGCACCCAAGCTGAGCAACCGGGCCAATCCATCCTGGTCCGTCGTGACAGCAGCACCAGCTCTGTCGTCATACCCACGCTTACGGGAGCTACGGGCAGCCCAGGCACCGAGGAAGCAGGCGTCGCCATGAGCGAGATCAAGGATATGGACCTGGACGACTACATCAAACGCCTGCTCGATGCTGCCTATGCTGGAAAGGTCACGAAGAGCGTGTGCCTCAAGAATGCCGAGATCGTGGCCATTTGCCATCGCGCACGCGAGACGTTCTTGTCTCAGCCTACACTGCTCGAGCTGGATGCGCCCGTCAAGATCGTTGGTGACGTGCACGGTCAATACACCGACCTTATCCGAATGTTTGAGATGTGCGGCTTCCCCCCGTCGTCCAACTTCCTGTTCCTGGGCGACTATGTCGACCGCGGAAAGCAGTCTCTCGAGACCATTTTGCTTCTCATGTGCTACAAGCTCAAGTTCCCCGAGAACTTCTTCCTTTTGCGCGGCAACCACGAATGCGCCAACGTCACCCGCGTGTACGGTTTCTACGACGAGTGCAAGCGGAGGTGCAACGTCAAGATTTGGAAGACGTTTGTCGACACCTTCAACACCCTGCCAGTGGCCGCCATTGTTGCCGGCAAGATCTTCTGTGTCCACGGAGGCCTATCACCGGCACTGGACCATATGGACGACATTCGCAACATTGCCCGCCCCACCGATGTGCCTGACTATGGCCTCTTGAACGACCTCTTGTGGTCCGATCCTGCGGATATGGAACAAGAGTGGGACTCCAACGAGCGAGGCGTTAGCTACTGCTTCAACAAGAAGGTCATTATGGACTTCTTAGTGAAGCACGATTTCGACCTGGTTTGTCGAGCACACATGGTGGTAGAAGATGGTTACGAGTTCTTCAGTGACCGTGTTTTGGTGACCGTGTTCAGCGCGCCCAACTACTGCGGCGAGTTTGACAACTGGGGTGCTGTCATGTCCGTCTCATCAGAGCTGCTGTGCAGTTTTGAACTACTCAAACCTCTCGATTCCAACGGGCTGAAGAACCACATCAAAAAGCAACGCAACAGTCGCAAGAACTTTATCAACTCTCCGGTAAGACTAACACCTACCCTGCCGCCTGTCTTTAACCCCGCCCTTCGGATTTCACTGTGCAATTTACTAACTTGTGATACTCAATAGCCTGCCAACTTTAACCCGCAAAGTGTGTAATCCCTGTAAACAAATGGTGCACGACAAGACCAAAGTTACACGATATGCGCCCAAACGCACACAAGGAGCTCATGGCCATGCGCCTGAAACGGCCTGTGGTTCCACTGAACACAACAATTCGACACGTTGGCGACGTGACTGCACAACGTAGCATCTTTTCGCGCTACTACACAACATCATACAACGTGATCGATGGCAAATACGCAGCGACATATGCTTATTCTACCCACGGGCTACTCTCACACTCGGTGGCCACTGCATGACCACCAGCAGACAAGGGGCGGACGAAAGAAGAATGTGGTCTCTGTAAAATGGACTACATCTGCAGCATCTAGCCTTGTCTTTATCAGCAAGTGGCTAGACATGAAAGCCGTGCCGAGATGCACGGTTTCTAGACATGACAAGGCCGACGAAATGGCAAACCCAGAGAGCAACTGCAGATCTGATTCGTTATAAAATTTCAGCGACTGTTCTTCTGCAGTCTCTTTCTCGATTCTAACCAACCCACCTAATATGGTGCTGCTGTCTTATGCTCTCCGGGTCGAATGGAGGCGGAGCGGCTCTTTTTGGCATTGGGCATTGTGTAGGAGTCTTGTGTGGCTTTGAGTCCTTGCACACCCGCTTGCCCTTGGCATTCGCTTTCTCTTCATGCGCTCTCTCCCTTGATATATTTCCACCACCGGCGTCTCTGTTCTCATGATGGGGTCGCTTACGACCACAACGAATCGTGTACTTTCTTTGCTTTATTGTTTCGGGTTTTTGTGCTCTTTTCTCGTGCATGGGTAATATTCGGGCGTTATCGTTGTGTTGTGACTGTTACATTGTGTCTCAATGCTTTTTGTCTCTTCCTCCTCGGCTTTTCCTGCTTTTCGTTTACTTATATGACTGGTGTACGATGTTTGTTTGTCTAGTTGTTCTTGAAAACTGTAGGCAGCTTGGGAACAAGAGGGTGCACGTTCAGACGTCCCGGTCAAACTAGATTTTTTTACACTGTCCATTTTCTCGTTTTCGTTCATGCGTTCCTTGCGTTCTTTACTATTGCCAATCGTTTACTTTGTGATTTCCATAATTCTGCCGTTGACAATGGTCTAGAAGGACACCGAACCATGTGACTTAAAATATCCCATCTTTTAGGTGAAATTCACAATAAAAAACTGTGCTTTTTAGCTGCTGGGCTGGGTGCAAGCGACTGGCTTTCTTAGTTTACTTGATTTCGGTCCTTTGTCTTGTTTTTTAGCTGTGTAATGGAAAATATAACTATGCAAGGAAGTTAACGTACATTGTGTGATGAGTTGTACCTATTATAAAGTGATATCAATGTTGATACAGTTTATTTTATTGTAACATACTATAATTTGTGTACCTGTATACATAATTGTATTATCTAAACTATGCGGTCAATGACGATAATTGATATTTGTTGAACATGGTAGATTAATATTTCGAATAAGGTAATCGGCGACAGTTTTACTTAGCAACCCCACTAGATTGTTCTTCTTGCAACGGCATTTGAATAGCATGATAAATTCATATGGAGTATATAGAGGTATGTATAAGGGTGGTCTTGAAATATAAATAACGAAGTGAAGAAAATACGCTGCGAAGAAAGAGAGCTTAGAGGCTGGCAACTGACGACATGGGAAAATTCAAGAGCATAGAACTGTCAACGCTTTACAAAACACAGGAAAGGAATGGTCGAGAGGCAGATAAGACCGTATCTCCATCGTGGCGTCGTTTTCTCTCTCTCCTTTGCCAAAGTTACAAATCCGATAAAAAGAAGAGAGGTCCACCGGCGAGCTTATAAAATGACACAATAGAAATCCGCCTAGGAAAAACGAAATTGACGAAATGGGAGGAGAAAGGGGATATCTCGCATTGCTGGAAGGTGTGTATAATAGACTGGATTTGTAAGGGAGGGGGAGAAAAAACGGAGATAGGTAAGCTTGAGGAGAAAGTAATACCCGCAGTGATGTGCAGTTGTATTATTGATTTTAGGGCTGCCCCAGTGTTACCACTAGACAGAGATGCTCGAGTTCTTGCGACTGTCGGCTTCTTCAAGCGGAAAGCTGAACACCAACCGGAAGAGGTCTCGTAAAAAGCCGTACTGGTTGGAGCGCAGGGTCATCCAACCGACGCTCTTGGCCGCATCCGAGGCAGTAACGCGACGGCCCCGAGCTGGTAGGCTGTTTGTTGTCCGGAACGAGTTGTCGGCAAGCACAAGACTCTTGTAGCTCTGTAGGAGCGTCGCATGTGCAGGAAGACTGCCAAAGGAGCCGGTGGGCAGGTTCTTGACAAAGGACTGGAGCGACTTCGTGCCGCCCGCACCGTCGGAAAGGGCGGAGTCGCGGTTAAAGCCGATGTTCATTGCGGCTTTCAGAATCAGCATCTTGATGCGTACAATGTTGATGTCTTCCGCCGACGTTGCCGTCGTCGCTGTGCTGCTGGTCTTGTTACTGCCCTGCGAGTAGCCGGACAGGTTAGACGCGCTGCTCGGCCACCGGGGTCCGTTGCCGTTGGTTGAACCGTGCCCGCGCCCGCTGGTACCACCCACGGATCCGCTGTCACCGTTCGTTCCAAGAACCATGATGTTTGGCATGACTGGGCTAGAGCTCTGCGGAGAGATGGGCGTGTCTTCAAACTCGGTGACTGGTGTCTCCGGAACTGGTGGCGGATGGCTCTGCCGCGATTTCCGAGTCGAGGTCATGGAAGCAACAGAGTTGGGCCGGTCTTGAAGGCCCGGGTAGCTGTCACGCTTTGAGAGCGACGAGACGCGGGTTGTTCCCGAGTGTACACTGCCAGTATCCGAGGCATATGACTGTTGGAACGTAATCTGGCTGGGGCGTGGTGTTCCACGGTCTGGGCGAATCTGGGTCCATCCTTCGCGGAAGATGTCGCAGAGCTCCCAGCAGGCCTGAACGGCTGAGCCGAGCAGCTCTTCGTCTGGTGCTTTCCCATCGCGGGAGTTTTGCCGTAAGCTGAACAGCATTTCAGCCAAAGACCAGCATGCACGGAGAAGAGAGTCGGTCTCTTCGGCAAGTTCGCTGCGCTGCTTCATGAGGCGGTGGCAGAGCGTGATGTAGAAATCCAGGGTACGTTCCTTGAACGGTTCGGGCAGGCTCCGAGAGTCCTGAGCACTGTAAAGGCTGCAGAGGGAGAATTAGTAAAAAGAAAACCAAAGGTATATCAAACAGAATGGTAATGAGCTCATGTATCTGCTTACTGGTTGTTCAGTTCAAAACTGACTCGCAAGATCGAGTCACCGATCTCGTCTTGCCTTTGCCGGACATCGAACAAAGCCTGACAGAAATCCCGACACAGGTCCAGATTTATACGGACACTGAAGCCATCCGAGGCCTCGTCGCGGCTCTGGTAGAGTCGCTGACACAATTTCCAGCAGCATTTCCATGCCATTTCGTGTGCGTCGGGGGTTCCGGAGCTGTTGAATACCCGTTCACGATGGATAGAGCTGAGGTTGGCGAGTGTGTTGCACAGCGTCCAGCACTCTTCAAGGGCCGCTCGGAGAGCGCCAATTTCGCCTTCTCCTTCAACGTCGAGGTGCGGGCTGGTCACGTAGTCATCGTACCGTCGTTCATCTTGATTTTCGGTCTCACGATGCTCTGGAATGTCTGAGACGAAGGGAGCGAATATTAGCAAACAAACGGTTTCTAAATCAAAATGTTGGCACAACAAGTGCCTGCTTACCCTCAAGGCCGCCAACACTCGAGGCACGCATCCTCGCAACGTCGCTGAGGACATCGTCCAAGTTTTGGGCCTGTGGTGTGGCCGTTTCAATGCTATACCGGACCGGCTTGACGTCTGTCGAAATTGGCGGAGGACCACCGTGGTAGGGCTATTTTAAAAGGCAACCTGGTAAGTAGTTTGGCAAGAATTGCGAGGCACCTGGGAAAGGAAACGACATACTTGACCATTACTGCCATTGGGCGCAGAACTCATTATTCCAAGAGCTCTCACGTCGTTCAGTGACTGCGGCTCAGGCGTGGAGTTTCCAACCTAATTTATGTCAGCTCCAGTACGAAACCGAGTTTGTACCGAGGAACGCCAGCATACCCATGAGTGGAAACTTTCGGGGGCATGAATAACAGAGACTGCTTCTTCGCTAGAGGCGTGTCGTGCGTGACTGGGTAGATTCGTTTTCAACATCTTCAATTGCTATTAGGAAAGTTAGTTACAACTGTGCTTGAAAACTGACCCCTCAGCTGGTGGGAGAGTATTCTCTGACCTGTGTTTGGAAACGAGCCGGCTCATCCCCGGGCTCTGCAGGCTCGTCGTCTTCGATCTCTGTTGTTTCGGTGCCGTTTGACGTGACGGGAGAAGGTCCGACGATGTCGCTCGTCGGACTCATAACCTGGGACTGGAAAGCGCGAAGCACAGAGTTGGGGCGCGTGGGGACGGACTCGGAGCTCGTCATCGATGAAGTGGTTCTGTTGTTTTTTGTTAGTTCAACGTCATATAACATTGGGCGGGCAAGCACCAAAAGCAAAACAATTGGTTGGAACTGGCCCATCATGCGACGTACACTGGCATGAATTTTGAGCTCGAATTTGTAGATTCAGGAGACGTCGCGGCTATGTCCGACTGTCCGGCGATGGAAGACAAGCTTCCTGTCGACGTTCTCACGGGAGCTTCGAGAGCCATGGTCACAGATTATATATATGATTTCTGAGAGCGGAGTATCTGGTGATGTGCAAGACAAAGACGTGCAGGGCGACGTGGTGCGTCCGGTATCAGCATAAAGCTTTGCCGCCACGTCGTACAGTTGCCGCAAGCTTCAAGCCACTCTGCCTTGCGCTTGTTGTCGGGGCCCGATCTCTTGGCCAGCCAGGCGTATCGGGGCAAGTGAAGGTGTTTTTGTAGTATGAAGGCACCTGGGCAGTGCAGTACAGGAAGACGGAGAAGCTGCCCTCTGGGCGCAACAAGAATAAAAAAAAGCGTTGGCCAGCGACGACAAGTGGGCGTTAACAATCGTCGAGCGCAAGTTGAGAAGTAGAGTAAAGAGGACGAAATCATGAAAGAAGATGACAGGTCGTGCCAGAAGCGCGCAAGAGGACCAACGTCTGCCTTGCAGGTCTTTTTGCGTAACGCCGGCCTGGGGAAGGGAAGATGGACATTCAGGACCGATGGGAAGGACAGGTCGAGAGAGGAAGACAGCAAATATGGTTGGGTCGAAGAAGGCGGTCGCAGAGAGCTTCTTAAGGCGCAGGCGGTCTCGACAAGCAGGTTGCACGGTGGGTCAGGCCATGCGAAGGATGGAAAGGGTATGTGGGAGTGACCCTAGAGACCGGGAAAAGAGAAAAGGAGAAACAAGAGAGAGATGGGAGTGTTGTCGCTCAGATGAGTGCGCTCCAACGAGACGGAAAGTAGGTGGGGAATGGCACAGAGAACCAATGGCGCAAGTGACAGGGTAGAGAGGCGCGCAACGAACGAGAGAGAGAGAGGGAAATACCAAGGGAGTAAAGAGAGGCCGATTGCAACGTTGGCGTTGGGCTTCACAACAGATGGAAAGGAAACGAGGAGAAAATGAACAAGGGTAAGGAGGAGAGAAGGAAGGACGAAGTCGGTACAAAGTGCAGAAACCGAGAAAGAAAATAAAGTTTTGGTCGTGAATAAGTGAGATAGGAGCAGCAGCATCAAAGGAAGCGGGATGTAGGAAGCGGTCGTTTTGCCCGATCGGCTGGTGCAACTGCCTGGCAAAGCCACTTCGCAGACGGTTTTCCTTTTCCCCTTGTTACTTTGGTCCGTATAGGTTCAAGTAGCACCACAGAGCTGCACAGTTTCCTTCTGTGGCAGTTTTGTTCGCAGCGAGCTGGTTTGCTATTTCATGACCAGAAAGCTGCTGGTGAGACTGATGTGAGTGCCGGCGGCGACTTCTGACGAGCTGCAGAATCGGTGCGAGACGATATGAGCAGTGGGATTGGCTGCCTGTTTGGCTGGCTGGTTGTGAGGAGCCGGACAAGAAATAAGCGGCAGCGATGTACATATGCAGCACAACGACGAGGGGGACAGAGAGTGGAAGGCAAAGTCAAAAGCTGCCTAGCTTGTGATTGATTCCTTCGTGGTCTGGCCTGTCCTGTCCGGTCTGGGTGAATAAGAAAGAACATAAAAACAGGACGGAAGAAGGCGCAAGTTGAAGGAGGGGAAAGGGAGGTGCGGGTGTAAACCAGCAGACACGCAAAACACGAATACAGGGGGGGTGTGAGCAAGAACGAGAAAACAAAACACGACGAAGAACCCCCGAAAGTGATTGTGTGGGGATGTGAGAAGGACAAGCAAAAAGCAGAGCAGGAAGACCACTTTCGTCGTATGTCGTGCCCATTCGCTCCCTGTGTCTTGCCTCTCCGCTGGATTATTGCTTCAACGAGCGGAGTTTCTTGCCTCTTCGCGCAAAAGTGGATATCGCTTCGAGAAGGGCTGAGCTTAAATGACGGAAAGCAGAGATCGAGACGTAAGATGCGGTGGGAATACAAACGGGATCACGAATACCAGCGCCAATGTGTCTGTAGCCTCGCCGATAAATCCTCGCCGATACATGGCGGAGTTTTTGAGTAAACATGCTTCTTGCTCCAGAAAAAAGGTAGGAAAAGCATAAAGAAGATGTTTCGTCGGAGACGGGTTTTGTTAACCCCAAGGAGTACCAAGTGAAAACTGTAACTCGAAACAATGAGGCAGATGAGCGCCGCTCACGAGGCGAGCAGGAGAGCAAGGGTGCATTGAATGAGCCTGCCGTGGGTGTGGTGGACGCAGAGTGGACGGCGGCTGTCGACACTCAACATTCCCCCGATTTCGTGCATGGTTCATTTTCTGTCCACCTTCTGTCTTCTTTTGTTCTCTGTTTCCATCTCTTTCATCCAATTTCTCATTCATTCCTCCGTTGCCTGTCTTTTGGTGGTCGGAAGAGAGGCATATTCCCTATTTCCTCCATTGAAGGATCAGAGGTTGATGGCGGCGAAGTGCGAGGGGGGGCTGCAAGAGCGAAGGGAGGGTCTGTGGAGAGAGAGCAAGCTGGGACGTCCAGCCAGTCAGAGCACAGACAAGGTGCAGTCTGGCTGATGGATGGGTATGCAAGCTACTGGAGAAGCCGCATGAAGTGTGACAGGGGTCGGCGCTTAAGTCAGGTAGAGGAGGGGAGGAATGGGCGAGAGGAGCCACACTCGAGTAAATTGGGCCCTCGCACCTCGGTTTTGATGTTCCCAGCCTCGTTAGCCATTCTTCCTTTTCGTTTTCTGTCCTTGCTTGTTTGTTGGTGCTTCCTTTCGTTGTCGTCACTTACCAAAAGAGCACAGTCGCCCACCCCCTATTCCCTGTCCGTTGTGTCCCATTGCCCTTGTCCAGTACCAGATTGTGTCGTTGCTCCGCTCGTTTCGACGAAGAACACGTCGTCCGGGTCTGCACAAAGTGCGGCAACTGGCGGGCACAAAACGGGTTAGGCACATCTTGGAGGAGTAAGTTGAAAGTCAAAGGAGCGTTCGAGGACTCGGTTGTAACGTAGCGAACATACACGAAAAAGAAGGAAAGAAAAGAAAGAGGGCAAGAATTAAGATGTAAAGGGCCATGCGGGCAAAGCCTGCATACGCTATGAAAGCTGAGATACCGAGACTTTCATGGTGGAATTGGCAAAACGGGTGGAAGCAGAAGAAAATGAGAATGGTAGAGGATTGGACATCAACAGTGTCGATTGTGACAAAAAACTACCCCTTTCGTCACTCTCGATATTAGGGAGGTGCGATGGAGGCTGCTGCTGCTTGATTTGGAAGATGTTGTCTGCCACCCTACAAGGAAGGTGCAATGTTGCAGGTGTGAACAGCATCATTTCTCTGAATTTGCAGCGGGTTGAGCCGCTCAGTCGTTCTTTCCGCGTCCCTCCATCTCGCCCCTCGCCCCTACCTGGAGGGTGTCATATCAACAGTAAATGAGGAAAGAACCATCGTGCACAAAGGGCACGAAGTATACCACATTGGGACAAGGGACAACTTACCGACGTCCTGCACTCTCTTGAACGATGCCCCTTTATAAAGCAAACAGCAAATATACATGTCATGGAGTCATTCTCGGGGCCATTGCAACGCGTTTGGCGCGCCTCGCAACCGCAGCGGAGCACAACAAGGGAGCAAGATGCGCCGACCGACTAACAAATAGACGCATAGGGGCGACGACTGAAACCGGCAACGGCACGAAAAGATCCCTCACCATGCAGCCACATTCTCCCAGAGGATTCTTGGTTCCGAGTTGCTCACGAGTTCGGCGCAAGACGCGCGATGCAAGACTGAACAGCACACCGTGGTCGGGCTTGTACCTCCCATCTATTTCCCTTCAGCTGGTTAAGCTCTCTCCAAGCACTTTTGCATAAGTCTCTGTGAGTCCACTATTTGTAATTCTTGCTCCAGTGGAGCTACCACGTTGTGTGGACAATGTGCACTTGGTGATCGCCCTTTTTTTACACTTCTATCCTTCTTTCCGACGGTCTGGGCGTCCACTCGTCTGGTGTAAGTGAGGAGCTACACACTAGCGCCGCCTCAGATGCAGATGGGCATCAAATGGCCGTCACCGACAGTTTTGACTTTTTCTTTCCTTTGGCGTAGGACATGTGCGTGGCGAAGAAATCAGTTCGATGACTAATTATGCAGAGGACGAATCCGTCGTTCTCCTGGGCAATTGCACAGCTGCAGAGCCGCATTGCCCCGAGTGGTGTTTCGGTGACGGAACGGCACCACAATCAGAGACACGATGCAAACAGTCGCCACGAAACTTCTCATCCGGACAAGACCACCGTTGTTGTATCTTACTTAAAGGCGTTGCAACGGACATGGCGACATAGGTTGCACTGGATTCATCTATCGCGGCTGTACTATTGCAAGACATGCACGCCTTGCATCGCCTCGACTTCCAACGGTACAAAGTAACTGCAGGACCTTGGGGCGGCAGGAAATGGACTGCGATGAAGTGTGCGGGACCTTATGGATAGAAGCGCCGACGGTGACACAAAACAAGAGAAGAGGGTAAACAGCGGACTCGTTTGTGGATCGGGAAAGGCGGAAAACGTCGACGACAACTTGACAAAATGTGGTGGGAGAGGATGGCTCATGATGCAAGATGCAGGAGGTGCAGGAAGAAGGGAGAAGTGCAGCTTTGACCGGCACCGTCCAATAAGCCTCTCGCGGCTGGCGTCTACAGAAACGACAATGGAACCTGTGGTTGTGCACCTCGTAGCTCTCGAGGCCGGACACCCTTACCCTCATGCAGCTTCCTTTGCCAGCGAATAAGGTCATGACAGCACAGCAAAGTGGAAAAACACGCTGGAAGAGGGAGAGGCGGAGAGAGGAGAACAAGAAGAGAACAAATGAAAAACGGCAAACAAAAGCGCGGTGTGTCATGTTTACTCTGACTTCTCGTCCTTTCCCTCATCCGTTCATCTCGCGAGCCGCGTGTACTACCTTGTTCGTCTGCCGCGTGCGCTTCTTGCGCATGGCCGAGGCCACGATCAGGCTGTTTATTGGAAATGTCGGTCTGGACGTCCACTTGTCTGCGTTTACGATGCAAGAAAGTCACATATTTCTTCATAGATGGGTACAGAACAAGGCCGGTCCCCAGACAAAAGGGGCGGTGTACGTCGAACGTCGTAATAATATTCTGTACTGAGTACGTCTTAATCTGCATCGACATTCTGGAGCCGCGCTTTGGTCCTGCGTTCCGCGATTAATCGGACAAAATAAGCGACGTCGCGGACTGCTCATTTTTTTGTGGTTGGCTGGAACCTCCTGTAATTTCTCTTGGATGGCCTGTTGGCCAGGCCAGCTGGCCCGTTGGCCGGTTGGGCCTGGCCGTTTCCTGTTGTTGCAGAGGCACCGACGGTTGGGCAAGGAAGGGCCTTGATCAGAACCAGACAGAGCCAGACGCACAAAGAGGCACGAGGTGTGCGAGAGACGCATGCGGCACGCATTGCAGATGCGGGCAAGTGGGTCTCGGATATCTGGTCTTGTTCCTTTGCTCGAATTCGAAGGATCGTTCATCGCTTTTGTTCATTGCTTTCCTGTATTTGTATTTCTTTTGGCCGTCCATGAATGTGCTCCCCAATATGTCAGTCGTAGGATCTTGGCCGCATTCGACCTGTGGCTGTGATACGACCAAGAAGGCGGATGATAACCGGGCAGAGCATCCTGGCAAGGGTAGTCGAATGTACAAAGAACAGATAGTACGACGTTTATGGAATAGAAACAAGAAAAGGAAAAATAAGGAAAGAAAAAAAGGAAAAAGAAAAAAGACTCCCGGAACAAAATAAAAAGGTAAAATCAAATCTCGGCCCAACCCAACACACAAAAACCCGCTCCCCATCTTTCCCCCCTCTTTACCTCCAATGTGCCCCCAAAAACTGACCACCCCTGGTCGCTGGTTACGCGCCCGGCACGACGGAGCTTGACCCACCCAGCAGACATCCATCCATATTGAGCTACGATGCTATCCGGTGTCTTCTCCGTATTCCGTTTCTAGACCCCCCCTCGTCTCTCCCCCCTTGTCTCCAGAGAGTGATTTGAATTAGAAAGACAACATGGGGGCGGCACAAGGTGTTGAAATCACAATCTGGTCAGGCTTCCTCCCCACTCGTACGAAGCAAGTCAAGTTACAACGCTCTCTGTCCAAGACAGCCACCAAGTTTTCTTGGAAAATTCGAGCCTTTCTGGACTAGACGCGGTCTCCATATTTTCAAAGTACATGAGCCGGTACAGCTGATACTGGATGTGCGTGCTTTTTGACCTGCAAGAAACTCAGCCGTGGCGTGAGCTATGGCCCGAGCCAAATAGTCATATGTCACGCAATTATGGCTGCATGCACCTTGCAAAGAGATATATGGAGACCAGCTGCAATGCGCGGAAACAGGATGGCGGTTAACGATAAACACTATTCTGTAAGTTGTCTCGCCGGCAGCCCTTGGAGTGCGACCTAACCAAATGAAGCTGTTGGTGGCAATGGACATCCAACAAGACTCCGTACTCGTATTGAGTCTGAGAAAGTCATACGTCGTAAGACGCATGTCGTACTCTGAAGAAAGAGTGTGATGGGAGCTGTGATGAAGCCTCGTGCGCCTCTTGTCACCCCAGTTCCACGCACTCGGGTACGAGGCGCCCATACACACAATAGCGAGACGGGGAATGCCAGCAGGCTATTCCGCAAACACAAGAGTACAATGTATGAGCAGATGCATCGCGTTGGCCGTTGGCGAAAGACTGTCCCTGTTGGTTTAGTGCCTTCCCCTGGTTTGACAAGCGCCAACACGCCTCCCATGGGACTGGAAGCAACATGCCTCGACTCAGCCTGGATCTGTTCCTGTGTCGTTCGAGGCCAATGGAGCCACTAGCTCGAGTCTGCCCTCGCTAACCTGGTTTTGATGGCCAGCCATTTGAGCCGACCCAGATGGCAGTGTCGACTTTGCCGATCCTTGTTGTATAGATGGACACCATAGAAGGATCAAATATTGAACTGTCGTGGAAGAACGAATGATCCTAGGTATCCTGGCCCATCATGTACTGTTCACTGCGACAGGGGCATAGCAACCGACGCCGTCAATCTCTCGTTTGCTGGTGAAATCGTATGAAGTTGCAAGTATGTTTCTATGTACACCGCTGAGCAAGTTTCAATAACAAGTATAACTGGGACAACTAGGCACCCATGAAAGTCTTGTAGTCATGACTTTTTGTCAAATGCTCCTCTCCACTCGGCCAAGACGATGCCTTTCCGTCGCTTCCGCAAAAGACAAAAAAACCCACACCGCTGGGACATGCATGCCTCCTCCACTTCCAACGTATCTGCTGTGCGCCTGTTGCAGGATGCAGACGCCGACGCGCTTGTAAGCAGACAGAGTCTGTTGGATCCATTGCAAGCTCGTCTGTAAGCGCCGAGCGTTACCCAACAGACAGACAACGAGCCGGATGGAGAAAGAGTGGCGGGTTGCGGCTTCGGCATTCGGGTGGAAGAGGAGGATCGTCGGGTGTGTCTTTGGACCTTGGCCGCCATATCGAGTTCTTGTCTGGGATGTGCATCCTGCCCAACTTCCAAACATACCTCGACCCTGTCACATCAAGTTGGTGACACCCCATCTTCCGAATCTTCTCAAGTTGGTTTAGCCGAAGTGGTCGTCTCGTCTCCATGTCCTCCTCCAGCTCTCCCCATGGGTCTCTTTCACCAAAAAATAAACCAAAACAATCAAACTCCATACACCAGCTGTGCAACGTGAAGATAAATGCAAAACAGACAGGTTTGCAAACCGCAAAAGATGAAATACGTCGAACGCCAATAACAAAGAGAGATCGGTTTGGCTTGAGAGGGTGGGTGAGGGTCCTTCAAGCAAGAGAGGAGCCATGCCGTTGGGTCGCCGGGAGAAAGTCGGAGGAAAGAGTCAGGCAGCGCGCACGACTCTGATAAATGAACGAGTGTCTTGTCGTATTCAAGTCGACAGTCAGGTCGGCTGGGTGGCATAGCTCGAGTGTCGCTCGAGACGTATCAGTCGGGTCGTATGTTGTGCGTCGACTATGAGTTGGCAAGGGCAATCTTCTTCTCGCTGCGGCCGTCGGGCGTGTACTTGAGCAGCTTCTCAATCAGGTCGACATGAGTCATGATCATGCGGCGGCAGCAGTACCGCTTGCAACCGAGCTGATCCATCGCATCACTGATGGCGGAGAGATTTGTCAGTATTTTAAGCCATCGACATGCCGGCAGAGAGGACACAGGGGAGGGAAACATACCCATCCGGGATATTGTCATCCAGGAGCTTGAGATAGCGCTCCCAAAGATCGCCGGTCACCTATCCCTTCGTTAGCACGAGATATCCATTGCGAGGGTCGGTGACCACAGTGATGATGACAAAAAGCGACATCGTCAAAATGTCCTAGAGGGAGGCGCGCTGTGACTGACCTTGCCGCACGAGAAGCACCGAATGGGGATAATCATCTTGACTGGTGTGGATGAGGAATCGCGGTAACGTCCGTCACGTTGATGGTGGCAGAGTGGTTGTGGAGGAAGAGTGAGGACGATATCGCGAGATGCACGTTTCTCTTTTTTTTGTCGTCCGTTTCGACAGTTACTTTTCTACAGGCACGCGATGAACAGACGGTCCTTCCTTCTTTGTCGCCGCCGCCTGCAGTTTTAGCGGCAAAAGGAAAAATAAAAAGGCCGCCGCCCCACTATTTTCTTATCGGGCGTGCCTTCCCAGTCTTATCGCAAAAAAAGTTTCTTTAGAGCAGTAGCGTTGGACATTTGGGGGAAGGAAGCAGGAACATAGGCGGCAAGTGAAGGAAGGCGCCTTTGCTACCAAAAAGGACGAGTTTTTCCTAGTCGAATGCAGTCAAGAACAACATCACGACATTGAACACCTCTCTCTTTGCACATACAGCATTTCACAAAGTGGAACGATACACTGTACTGGATTTGAACTCAACAAACCTCTCCACAACAAAATGGCCCCTCGAAAGGCAGCGGGCGCGGCGGACAGCCAAAAGAAGCGGAAAAGAGACAAAGCCGAAGACGTCGTTCGTTTAAAGAAACGCAAGGGCCAACCCCAGGAGGAGGCGACAGTCCCGAGTTCAGAGAAGAAGAGCAGTGGCCCCGGCCGCAGCAGCCAGCTTGCCCACCCGTCGACACGGGCGATTGCCAACCAGAGGACGACATGGAAGCTCTCGGAGCCAATGGGCGGTGCCATGGCCGACATCGACCCCGTTTTCTCGACGGACGAAGAGTATGTTGTTCCCGTGGCTGGACCTTGATATATACTGGCCATGTTGATTTTGGTTTGCTTCTCTGCGGTCGAATGTGGCCCTACGCTTGTCGTGCTAACACGCTGCCCTTTTCAGACACCTCATTATCGCGTACCACACGTCCCTCCAAATATACTCGACCGCAGACTCGCTCCTGGAGCGCCGGATAAAACTGCCAGAAGAGGACCGTCCGGCCCGTATTGTTGCTATTGCCCTGTCGCCCAAGTCCGATGAGCTTGTGTGGATTGGCTGCGCAGACGGCACGCTCTACCGGGCCAACTGGACGTCGGGCGAGATTGAGCGGATGACGCGCAAACAGGCACCTGCCCTACGGCTAGCTGGCATGACGGTCGAGATGGTGCAGCTTGGCAAGCTGGAGAAGGAGGTCCTTTTTCTCTCCGAGGGTGCTCCGGGCGCATGGAGCGTGACGGCGTACGACGCGACGACACTGGCCAAGACAGCCGGCCGCACGCTGTTCACGGCTCCCAAGAACAGTTCGACCGCCATCGACCTTTTGCGTACGGCCAACAACGGCCGCTTCGTCGTCGGTTCGAGCGGAAACACTGTGTTTGTTGGCGGCCTGAAGACAGCGGCGGGCGGTGACCGCTCGTCCGAGACCACTCTGGACGACGTGGCGTACCAATTCTACTCCCTCGATGCGGCCGACGAGATCGCATGCCTCGATGTGCGGCCCACCAACACGAAGCGCGGTGCATCCCTCGACCTTGTTGTCGGCTGCGTCCGCGGCGCCATCTACGTCTACGAAGACGTCTTCAGCCGGCTGCAGGAGGCGACGGCGGAGAGCTCTCGGAAGAAGAAGGTCAATGTGCGGCCGCGGAAGCACCACTGGCACAGCCGGACCGTGAACTCGGTGAAGTGGTCCAGAGACGGCAACTACTTAATTTCTGGCGGCCCCGAGTCCGTCCTAGTCCTGTGGCAGACGGAGACGAGCAAGCTGGACTTTTTGCCGCATCTGTCTGCCAGCATCGAGAACATTGTCGTCTCCCCGCGTGGCGCATCGTATGCCGTGCACCTCGACGACAACTCGACCATGGTTCTCTCGACGGCCGAGATGAAGCCGACCTTTTACGTCTCCGGCCTGCAGTCTCTGACGCTGACACAAATGCCCGCCAAGGACGCCCATGTGCGGCGCACCTGGCAGCCGATCCAGTCGATTACGAAGCCCATCCCCGCCGCCATAAACCCGGCCGATGCCTCGCGGATCTGGCTGCGCGTCGGCAATGGCCAAAAGGCAGCCATGACAGGCGACCAGCCGTCGGCGTCGCTCCTGCAGACCTTTGACGTGTCGTCCTTCCGCAGCGTGGCCAAGCAGCCGCTGGCCCGCACCAACCCCACCGAGAACAACATGACAACACAGGGCCAGCCGCTCACGGAGCCGACCGTTACACACCTCTGCGCCTCGCGCGACGGCCAGTGGCTGGCCTCCGTCGACGAGTGGCAGCCGCCTGAGCGCGACATCAGCGGCATGCCCGGCGAGCCGTCGCTGAAGAAGGAGTGGGCGCGCGACCGGCGCGAGGTCCACCTCAAGTTCTGGTCGGTCAGCGACCGGCGCGAAGAGGATGCTGCTGCAGCTGCTGCGGGAGCGGCGGACGAGGAAGTGAATGCGTACGACCTGGTGACGCGCATCGACGAGGCGCATTTCACGAGCAAGGCGGAGACCATTTTTGCCGTGGAGGCCGACACACGGCACGGCAGCCGGTTCGTCACGCTGGGCGACGACGCCGTGGTGCGGTTCTGGGGTATCAAGACACGTGTACGCGACGGCCTGGTGGCCAAGGACGACGCCGGCCGTCCGCTGGTGAGCTGGCACTGCACACAGTCCGTGCCGCTTCCGCTCGGCGAGACGGACGACGAGAAGAACGGCCATGGCGGCAGCCCGGCCGCCCGCCACAACAGCGACCGTCGGAACGGCGCCCTCGCCTTTTCCGAGGACGGGTCGACCGTGTTTGCGGCGTTTGGCGGACCAGACAACGAGGCCGTGCTGTACACAATCGACGCCGAATCGGGCGTTGTGCGCGACACGCTGCAGGGCATGTTCCGGGGTCGTATCCGCGGCGTGGCAGTCATGGGCTCGTCGCTGGTGCTGCTGTCGGCCGACCTGCGTGTCTTTGACATTGTCGCCGACGAGCTGCGCTACGGCCTGACCGTGCTGGACAGCATCCCAGAGGCCGAGCTCAGCACAGCGTCCGCGCTGACCCAGCTAGCCGTCGGCCGCCTTGCCAACACGTTTGTTGTGGCGGTGCCCTACAAGCTGGGCGCGTCAACGAGCGAGACTGACGCTGCGACTACGGCTACGGCTACGGCTCCCAAAAAGACGGGCCAGACGACGCCATCCCGTTTCGCCTCGCGCCTGATTGTGTACTCCCCCGACCACGCCGAGCCCCTGTTCACCAAGAACCTGCCGCACCTGGTGGTGTCGCTGCTCCCCGCCGTCGGCCTGTCGGGTTTCCTGGCCATTGACGCGGCAGCGCAGATGTGGTCGATTGCGGACGCGGCCGACACGGCATCGCTGGGCCAGTCCCTGGCCGATCTCAACCTGCCGTCCACGACAAGCACGTCCAGCAACGCCATCGCTGCGACGCTGGACATGAACGGCGATGACGACGACGAGGAAGAGGCCGATGAGGATATGCACGACGCCAACGGTGCCGGCGCCGAGGACGACGATGCGTACGGCGTCGAGGACGCACACGACGTTGTGATTGCGCCGCAGAAGCTGCGGGAGATCTTTGAGGCAGCGCCGGCCACGGCCTCGACGTCCATTGAGGAGCTGTTCTGGCAGGTGTCAGGCTTGCTGTCGAGCCTGCCGAGCGTCGTGCGTGCGGGCTGAAGAGCAAACAAGAGGCCCCGTTCAGAAGGGGAATGCCGAGCCGAGCCAACGTTATGCGGGGGGCGAGTCTAGTCGAAAAAGTGAGAGGTCGCCTAATTTTGGGGGGGGGGTACAAAAGCCGGCGATTACGCCATATCTTTGGTGTATTCGCTACTGCACCGATCCCCGGACCCGGTTCGATATAGTGTTGTTTTTTTTTTTTTTTTTGGGGGGCACAAAGGTTATTTGCATGTTGGAGATTTTGTGACTTTGCATCTCCTGTCTTGTTTTCTATCTCATGGGCTGATTTGTCTGTTTTTTTATATCTGTCTGTTTCCTGCCATGATTTCGCATTTGCCTGTCTGCATCTGATCATATATTACAATTCTATACAGCATTTCGTCGTTACTATTGTCGGAACCACTTCTTTTTTTCTCCTTGTTCTGGCCGCCTCGTCCGCATCGCCGAGATGTCTTTCACATCGATTCCCGTGCTCGACGTCAGCCGCGCCAGCGACCCGGCCACCAAGCCCGAGTTTCTGTCGGACCTGCGCAATGCACTGATCGAGGTCGGCTTCTTCTACATCAAGAACGTTGGCATCCCCGACACCCTGTTCCAGACTGTCATCGAGCAGGGCCGTGCGTTCTTCGACATCCCCGAGGACGAGAAGCTCAAGATTGAGATGAAGAATGCGCCCTCGTTCTTGGGCTACTCGCGCCTGTCGGCCGAAGTCACGGCCGGCGCCGTCGACCACCGCGAGCAGATTGACCTGTCGACGGAGCACGCGGTGCCCGGGCCCGACGCGCCGCGCTACGACAACCTGCTGGCGCCCAACCAGTGGCCGGCCGACAGCGTGCTGCCCCGGTTCCGGCCTGCGTTCACAGACTTTATGACGCGCATGGGCGACATGTCGCTCTACTTCACGTCGCTCATGGCCGAGGCCATTGGCCTGCCGCCGCGTGCGTTCGAGCGCTACTTCGACCCGGACCCGCGGCGGCGGCAGCACAAGCTCAAGATTGTCAAGTACCCGGACGTGTCGGAGCTGGGCGCGGCCGCGGCCGGCAGCAACCAGGGCGTGGGCCCGCACAAGGATAGCATGTACACGACCTTTTTGTTGCAGGCCAGCGAGCACCGCGGGCTGCAGGCGCAGAACACGCGCGGCGCGTGGATTGACGCGCCGCCGATTGACGGGACGCTGGTGGTGGTGATTGGGCAGGCGCTGGAGGCGCTGACGCAGGGCGTGTGCGTGTCGACGACGCACCGGGTGCTGTCGCCCGCGGCGGGCGCGGGCGCGCGGTTCTCGATCCCCTTTTTCCAGGGCGTGCGGCTGGACACGGCGTTTTAGGAGCTGGAGCGGGTGGGCGTGGGCGCGGTGCCCGAGGACGTCAAGGACCAGCGGCGGGCGGTCGTGGCTGCTGTCGGCGGACGGCTGGACGACGTCGAGTTTACGTTCCGGACGGGCGGCGCGGCCAAGACGCTGGGCGAGGCGACGCTGCGCAACCGGGTCAAGAGCCACCCGGACGTCGGCGAGCGGTGGTACCCAGACATCCTGGCCGAGATCCGGGAGGAACAGCGGCTCAAGGCAGACGAGGCTGCGGCCAAGAGCCGCGAGGCATCCATCACGGCGACTGTGGCCCCGGGTCCCGAGGCATCTCGGACACCTGCTGTGCCGGCACATTGATGAGGCCGGCGGAGGGCAGTCGTACGACGTACTGAATACTCCATAACATGGCAACAAGACACAATGAATATAACGAGACATGACATCATCTTGAGGACCGAGCCGGCGATGACTCTCCTGTCCCGATTCAACGGGCTAGACACTGGACACCTCGTCGACAATCTCGCCTTGCTGATTTGTCTTTTTGGTATTCTAGAACGGCTCGCTTGTCGCTGGTCGCATTGCACTCTTCTCCCACCGTATTCCGTTCTCCGTCATGCGTCATTCTTCATCATCGTCTTCTGTCTTCAATTCGATTCGCCCAACACCGGCTCCCGTTGTAAAATAACAAAAAATAAATATAATAAAAAATGTACAACATATAACGCCTGGGCCCTGGGCAGTCCACCCATCTATGCATCGTCTGTGGCCCCGCATCGCCCCAGATGTCCCTAGGACACGGCAACGGTCGCCACGGGTTGTCGCTTTGCCTGTGCTCCGTGCTTATTTCGAGGCGGCCTTGAAGTCGGGGAAGCAGTCGGCCAGCGTCTTGCTGTGCTTGTTGGTCGCATGGTCGTTGAGGCTGGACAGACGCAGTTTGCAGTTAGCAGTGAACGGAAGTCTCTTGTCTCTGTGTGTGTGTCTCTCTGTCCGTCTGTCCCACCACGGGAGCTGGACCTACGCATTCTCGCGCGTCGTGCTGAGGAACGTCGCCTTGCAGACGAAGCACTGGATGTTGAGCGCCTTCTCGTTGGTCTTGAGCTGCGACTTGGCCGCGCCAGCCTTGTCCTTGGCGTTGCGCTCGCGCTTCTGCGCAGCCTTGGCACCCTGTTGTCGAGAGACGAGTCAGTGGACCGGCGAGGGAGACGGGGAAACAAGACCATGTCTTTCTTGAACGCGACGCCGTCCTGCAACAGGTGAGGCGTGAGAAAGAAAGGCCCCTGGAGGCTCCTGGAGAACGTACGTTACCGCCACCCATTTTGAGAGTGAAGAGGAGAAAGAGCAAAGACGAGAGCGTCGAAGGAGGAGATTGACAGAGTCTGGAAGTCGGTTGGTGTCGGGTTTGGTTGTCGCAAGGCTGTGATTGTCGGAGAGATACGTTGGTCGTTAGGAGTTTTTTTTTCTGTCTCCTTTTTTTCTTTTTTTTTCCCTCCTTTCTTTAGGGATGCGCGGGGCGATCGGCGGCCTATAAAAAGAGAGGGTAGGCCGGCAGGAGACAAAAGTTCAGGCGGCTAAAAACGAGAAAGAGCGACGGAAGACATGTGCAGCAGGTGCAGGTGCGAATGGCGGGGTTCTTCAGCCCGGCCAGAAGGAGACTAACTCACTAATTACACGCTGACAGCAGGTCCAGACCGCCGAGACCGCCTGTGCCAGTGCGCTGGACGCTGATTTGCTGGGTGCCCCAACTTACATCGTCGAAGTGGAGCGGGACGCGCTTGCCTACTGTGCATAACGTCGTCGCGTTGTCACGATGGAATGCTTCGTTTAACGTCCATCGCAACAGTCGTACGCGGCACGCCTCTTATTTCGGCCTCCCACGACAGATAAGCTCGCGGGCAGTTGTTGCAATGTCTATGTCGATTCCGTCGCCCGCCGCCATTTCGGTAGAGGCCTTTGCAGAGTACCTCGGCCGCTATCCCGACGTCATCGCTACAGTTTCCGCGGCGAAAGGGGGTGCGTTCAACTCATGAACTTGTGTTCTCGCCGCTCACATGGCTTGTTCTAACGATGTGGTGACAGCGAAGCCTGGCCAGAAGAGCCTGCTGGAGCTGGACGAGTATCGCTACGTCACGGCGCCAGCCACGTTCGGCCACCATCCTGGGGGGAGGCACAAGATCGCAACCCGCGATGATGTCCTGACGCTCGTTGAGTGGAAGCTGTACGTGTGGACACCAGAAGGGTCAATGGAAATAAGGGGGCGAAGGGCGAAGGGCGAAGCAAAGACGTCACTGACACACACAGCCGCCATGGCAAGTTTCGACCGACCCTCATGAAGCTTGTCGAGTCCAACCCCACGGCCACGCTCCAGGAGACCATCCGGGAGGCTGGGAAGAAGTTCTTTGCTGCCACGTGCACGGTCCCCGTTCGTGATGTGCGGCTGCCCGCGCGTGACGGGGCAGCGCTGCGCTCAGTTAAGATGCTCTGCGAACTCAAAGGCATTGGCCCGGCCACAGCGTCTCTGCTGCTTGCTGTGCACTACCCAAAGGAGGTCATCTTCTTTAGCGACGAGGTCTATGCGTGGTTGTGTGGCGGTGCGTCCCACAACCCGCCGAGCAAGTACAACGCAAAAGAGTATGAAAGCGTGGTCGACGGCATGTTGGCGCTGGTGAGACGGCTGCCCGAAGAGTTTGGCCCGCTGGATGTCGAGAAGGTGGCGTATGTCGTGATGTACGACAAGAAGAATGGCTCGACTGTCGTCAAGGTGGACAAGATGGACAAGACGGTCAAGCCGGAGACGACAAAGGACGCAAAGACGGCAGACGACGCAAAGGACGCTGGCCCGGGGAAACGCAAGGCGGAGCAGTTGGCCTATCTCGTGCAAGGGATCGACACCAAGTGGCGGAAGCCACATTCGGAGAAAGCAGCCCCGAAAGCAGCCGCGAAGGCGGCACCAGCATCCACCAGAACGCGGCGGTCAAGCCGGCTCCAGAAGTCATCGTAAGAGGGGCCATCAGCGCAAAGTATCAATGAGGTTTTTGTATAGCAGCGTGGATACCCATATTTTCCGTACATGATCAAAACAAATGTGTAAAATGCATAAATGCACACCGAAACCAAAGCAAGCAAAGCAAAACCAAACCAAACCAAAATAGCCGGTGCTCGTTTATGAGCGCCACGAGCGCGTGTTCCATAACGGAGCAAATCGAGAGCACCACAATACCCCAGCATTCTAGCGAGTGGTGTCCTTTTTATGCATCCCCTTCAGCCTCCACCGGCCTCTTGCCTCATTGTCCAGCCTCCATTCTCCGCGGACGAACAACAATCTCGCCCACCTTGTCAGACTTGTCAGGCCCGTGGACCTCCGTCCCGCCTGCAATCACCCGGCAAAAGTTGCCGTCCGCTGGCCCCCGTCGTGCAGTTCCACGTTCTTATGTTTCTCCCTTATTTGGTCTTCTTGGGGCCGGCCGGGGCTTGTGTGGCGCCGTACTTCTCGCACAGGTCATCGTACTCGCGCTGCAGGCCCTGGGCCTGTTTCTTGAGCGTTTCGATATCGCGGTCCTTCTTGGCCAGCTCCTTCTTGAGGTTGCCAATCTCGCCAAACTCGCCCGCCTGCGTCAGCTTCTCGCTCTGCTTGGTGTCGGCCGCGGTGCCCTCGTACTTCTTCAGCTTCTCCTCGAGGCGCAGCACCTCGAGGATCATGGTGTACGTGCGGTTGAGGATGAGCGACAGGAAGAGGGTAAATCCGCAGAGGTACATGTTGCGCTGGCTGTAGAACTTGCGCGCCTGCACCTCGAGACGTTCACGGCCAATGATGGCAGCCCTGGACAGTTAGTGGGTGGAGGAAGAAAAGCAGAAAAACCCGAAAAAGAAGGAAAAGAAGGAAAAGAAGAAAAAGCAGAAGAAGCAGAAGAAGCAGTGCAATGCCAGACGTACCCGTTAGCGGCATTCTCCGAGCTGAGGCCAAGTTCAACCTGCACACGGTAGACACGATTGACACTGTCGATAAACAGGATGAGGATAAATATAAATGTTATCTTCATGCCATATTGCACTTTGGCAACGAGCGGGTTTTCGGAGAGGAAACTGCGGCGAAGAAAGTGGGCACATGTTAGCGGAGGGGAGAACACTTTGGTGTGGAGGACGGAGCCAGGCGTCGGGTTTGGACGCAAGGGAGGACATACGTAAAGATTCTGCGCTTGAGCGTGAACGGCAGCGGCACGATGAGCACCACAAACAGTGACATCTCAAGCATGAGCAGCATAAACACCTGAGTAGTTGGTCAGTCAAGCCGAGCTTTGAAAGAGTAACACGAAATACCCAGAAGCAATAAAAAAAGGGGAGAAAAAAGGAAAATAGGAGAGCAAGAACATGAACATACCATAGTATAGTAGAGCGTCATTTTGGCGGCTGGGGTCGGTATCGACGGGAAAAGCAGGCGTGGAATTGATGTGTTAGGTATGGTAGGCTGTTGTCGGCAAGTTGTTTGGTCGGCGATGCGATGCTGGAAAGTGTGGAAAGGAGGGAAGAAACGAAGAAAGGAAAAAGAATGGCCGGAGGGGAGCTTTAAGAAAGAGAAGGAGGTTAAAAGGACAGCTCTGCTCCTTCCCTCTTTCTTCCTTTTCGCTATTGCTCCTCACAAGGTTACGTAGTGGTGGGGCCGTCAAGCTTTGAGGCAGGTTCTTTGGTTTGCTGCTTCCGGGGCTGACAAGTGCCTGCCTGGGAAGGAACAAGGGGTGCATGGCGGGTCTCAGCGGTTCGAGCAGCCTGCAAAGGAAAGAACGATGACGTTGTCGGTGGCCAGTGTGGGGCCCTAAGCTCTCGATTCTGGAAGAGGAGAGTCGGCATCTGTGGCTCCTGATTGGCCTATGCCGATGATAAAAAGTGGGTCGTTACATAGAGCAAATGCTGAAGACAGAACCTTGCGCGACAACATGCACGACACAGCTGTTGCCGACCTGTCAGGCGTAGGTAGGACAGAGGAAGTGATACGAGATTGAGAACCTTCAAGTCCCAGGAGACTTCACATAGGATGCAAACCCAACGGTAGCAGGTATAAATGACATGGTTGAAGCTCGCTCTTGTCTGAGACAATAAGGAAGGTGCGATCATCAAAAGCCACGCTACGGCTCGTCATGTCATAAGCGACAAGTTCCTGCTTGCAGCCATCGTTCGGGTCTATGCCTAGACAGCTTGTTTAACTGAGATCCCAAGCTGTTATTATGAATTAAGATTGTTTGTTGATTGTTCTTTGATACTGGTTTATGTCTAACGCACGTTCATTGGCTTAGTCATCAATCGGTATCAAGTGAAAAGTCCCGCTCTTTTTCCGTGCAAAATTGTGCGGACAGCCAAATCGCGCTCGTACGGTCGAACAAAGGTCGTAAACTCACACTAACTACTCACTTCGACCGGCTGTCTGTTGACACCCCTATAGACCCCCTAATCTAAACAACTTCCAACTTGTCAAACAATGCATTTGTTCCTGGTCTAAGGAACTCAAGTCCCTTCAATCTGTTGATTCTACGACCCTGTCCGTAACACTCTTCTCGCAATGTAGAAAACAACCCCACCAAATGGCCTCTCACCGAATATCGAGGATCGGAAGTCAGACAAGACGATGGCTGCCAACGTGACTCTGAAATTGCACTCAGCGATAACCCGTAAATAAGAATATGCGGCCGCCGGGTTGTTGCGAGCCAGGAAGGAGCGTCTCTCAGCAGCTCTTGCCGTACCTCGCTCATGTGGGTCCCTGCAGTCTCCCAGGGCAGGCACGTTTTGGGCCGCTATTGCCAATTTGACACTATTTTGGTTTGGATTTAAACTCTATTTTTTTTGCGCTTTTGCCTCATCGTTTTTTCTGTCACAACTCTCACCGACTTGCCTGTCCCACATAGCCATCCAGCACATTTCAAACACCACACCTTCACCATGTCGACCTTTCCGATCCTGATGCGTATCTCGGCTGCCGCCCCCCGGCGGTAGAGTTCTGCGTTCACCCTCGTACTCAAATTATCGTGACTTTGAGCGTTCATAAAGCCTTCCTTTAGACATTTGTTTTCCTTCTTTTTGTCACTTGCCCTTGTTTGATAGATTTAGATTCCACGTGTACACTTTCCTTCTTCCTATTTCCTTTCATATTCCAGCCCTTCCCTCCTCCTGCACCGCCCATCATGCACATCTCCGGCCTCGTCCCGCCGGAGCTCTTTCCGGCCATGCGCCAACAGCCGTCGTATGTCGACATTATGGCTTGTCTTGACGGACTGCGGGCCTCCCCGTCGGACCCACTGGCCCTCGACGACGAACGCGGCGAGCACGTGTGGGACTGCGCCACCCCACGCGACGAGATCGAGGCGCTGCAGGCCGCCTCGGCCCACGAAGTCCAGCGCTATGCCAACGCCGTGTCTCGCTACCTCAACAGCATCATCATGAACGACCTGTCGTGGCTGCCGGACGAAGAGGAGCGCGAAGCCGTGTGGGCCGCCGCCAGCCGCCGCATTGCCGAGCGGTGCGGCCGCACGGCCATGGGCGACATCACCCGGCGGTGGCCGCTGCCGCTTCCCGCTGAGGAGACCGGCGGCCTTGCGTCTCCGGGGGCGAGCGACAGCGACAGCGACGGTGCGTCCGTGCCGAACCGGCCCGTGCAAGTCGACCTCGTCATCAAAGAACCCGCCCTCGTCGGCGACAGCCTCGGCTTCAAGACCTGGGGCACGTCGTATGCCATGGCCCGCATGCTGCCCGCACTGGCGCACGCGCCGGGCCTGCGCCACCTGCAGCCGCTGCTGCGCCAGGGCCTGCCCGTGCTCGAGCTCGGCGCCGGCACGGGCCTCCTGGGCCTCGCAGCCGCCGCACTCTGGCGTGCCGACGTGGTGCTGAGCGACCTCGCCGCGATCGTGCCTAACCTGGCGGCCAACGTCGAGCGCAACAGCAAGATCATCCAGGCCCGCGGCGGCCGGGCGCGTGCCGGCGTGCTGCAGTGGGGCGCCAGCCGCGACCAGAACGACGCGAGGACCGGCACAGTCGTTGTCGACACGGATCTGTTCCCGCAGGACCACCAGTTCCCGCTGGTTCTGGTGGCCGATCCCATCTACGACGAGGAGCACCCGGCGCTGCTGGCCAGTGCCATTGACGCGCAGCTGGCCCTGGCCGGTGAAGACGACGACGACGGGGATGGCGGCGGCAGCAAGAACAAGAGCCCGCGTGCCGTCGTCATGGTCCCGCTGCGCGACCGGCAGACGGAGACGATGGCGGCCATGTTTGTGGCCGAGATGGCCGAGCGCAAGCTGGTGCCGGTGGACGAGGGCGAGATTGCCGGCCAGGACAGCGACTGGGCGACCGGCGGCGCTGGTGTTGGCTGCGAGTTTACCTGCTCGTGGTGGGTGTTTCACCGGGCGTGAACGACGATGAATTCACTCTTTTATTATTGCGAAGCGACTTTGATTTACAGCACCAGACATAGACCGAAGAAAAAAGACATCAAGATACACTAGATTAGAATTATAAACTAGAATGAGCTAGAATACAGAAAAGACAGCAGCTTCTGGTTACCGTCTTATGCCAAAATAAAACACAATAAATGTACCACTGACCTTGAAAAGGGGCGTTGCTATGTACATTGTAAAGCGGTGCTCGCACGACGAAGAATAGGACACAAAGCCGTCGCTTGATATAGTAAAGAAACCCGACAGTCCGGCGGACAAAAAAATTCAAAACACAAAAGGAAACTGAGTCTGCGGCGGACAACACCATAAAGTAAACAGACATAATCGCAATACAAGAAAAGATTTTTGTAAAAAAAGGTTCGACGACACCCAATCACCCATCAATGGGGCACACATAGTCGCGGTCCCGCTCGCCATGCTGGCGTCGCTTGTGCACCATGCCGTTTCCGTTGCTGCCGCCCGCCGCGGCACCATTGCTGCTGCCATCGGTCTCACTGGCCGCCCGCGCGGCCTCCAGAGCGTCGAGGCATCTCTGGTGGTAGATGTGCCGACATGCAAACAGCACCAAGGGGCCCAACGCCGCTGCAGACGGAGACCGCGGCCCACCGACGCCGCCATCGCCGCCATCGCTGCCCGGAACTGCAAGACGTCCATCGGATGCCACGGTGGCGTCAACAGCGCCGTCCTTGTTCGGCCTCAAATAGGCGTCTCCACCGCCGGGCGCCGCCAGTTGCGGCTGCAGCCCAGGCCGGGGCGACGGTGTGCGCCGCCCGCCAGGCCCACCGGTTCGGTCGGGGAGTTCGAGCAGCGGTGACGACGGTGGCGCCAGGCGGTCTTTGCCCTTGCCCCCCGTGCCATGGGCGGCGGCGGCGGCGGCGTCACCATTGTCTTTGCCCTTGCCGCGGTCCAGCCCGCCGCGGCTCGCCATCAGGATGGTGCGTTTCTTCTCGTTGCGCCGCTCCGTCTCGGCCGCCTGCTTCGCCTCCCACGCTTCGTAGATGCTGAGTCCACCTTCGCTTTGCGTGCCGCCTTGGCCCGGCTGCAGGGCCGCCGTGCCGGGCCCGCCATGCGATTGCACAACGCCGGGACCCCAGACGCGGCGGCCGCACGCTTCGCAGGTCGACTTCTTGGCGCGCCAGCCGCGCTGCCGCAGCTCCACGGACCGCTGCACACTGACAAACAGACTGCGCTCCAGCAGACGGTTGGCGAGGCGCAGAATGGACGCCTCGTATGTGTAGGCCGAGAAGATGGATGCCAGGACGGTGCGCAGGTCGGCCAGGCTGGGCGACGAGACGGCCGCCCGGGTCAAGAACGCTTTCAGGATGCGCAGGAACGACAGGCTGTTGCCGGCGCCCGTAATGGCACTGCCACCGCGGCGGCTGCTGGAGCGCGATGGTGCGCTGCGGCCGGGCGACGGCGTGGACGGCAGCGGGCCGGAGGAGGTGGTCGTCAGGAGGGCGGTAAACGTGTGCTGCACGAGCGACCGAAGCAGCCCGACAAGCTTGTCTGCTTCTGCTTTTGGGACCGGCTCGGAATCGGCACCGGTTCCTGTGTGCGCAGCCGCGCCATTGGTCGTTGCGGGCGCCGCGTCGGCTGTCCGCTGGCCGTCCGGAGTGTCGTGTATGTGGGACGAGAGGTTGCGCGTAATCTGGACAGTGGCATCAATCAGGTCGAGCCACAGCTTTTCGTCAGGGGAGAGGCCGTCGTCCTCCTTGTCGCCGGCACCATCTGATGCCGTCTTCGACGTCTGTTGCGTCTTGGACAGCGGCCGAGACGGCCGTCGGATGGTCGTGTCGGCCTGTCTCTGGCAGAGCCAGATGCCGACGTGCGTGTACCTTTGCAGCGCACGCATCAGGTCTTCGGTGGCACTGCGCTGGACAACGGTGGCATTGGACGCCCCGCCGTCGCTGCGCGCGTCCTCGTCGTCCGACGTGTCCGTGCCGTTTTGGTTCCCACCAGAATCGCCTCCGCTGCCGCTCGGATTCGCCGTCAAGAGACCCTGGACGGCTGCCTCGAGGGCGTGCAGATGCTGGACAAGGCGCCCCATGGCTTCGCGGACCTGGCCGTCCTGGGCCATGAGAACGACGGCAGCATCGATCACGCCCGTGTCCTCCATGGTGGGCAGCAGCCCCTCCAGACGCAGGTTGGCCGACTGCACCATGCCGACGTAGTCCGACACGTGCTGAGGGTCGAACTCGCACATGAGCCGCACATACTGTTCAATCAAGTCTCGGCGGCTGTCGGCGCTGGGGCTGGCGGACGAGGTGTCGCGATGGTCCTGCTTCGTTTGCCGTCGGCGGCCGCTGTCCGCGTGCGCGTCTTGGGCGGCCGTGTCGGCTGCTGCGTCTTCCAGGATCGTCTTCAGATAGGTGTACTGCAGATCGTGGCGGTCGTGGATCGCGTCCAGAACGTGCGGGTGCAGCTCTGGGGCATACGCGTCGAGCGTCCGGGCAGCCTCGGCCGGGTCCAGCACGACGAGCTCGACAGAGTGCTCGCGAATCACATTGTGCACCTCCTGGACGCGCCGCTTGACCACGCCACTGCCTGGGCCTTCGGCGTGGCCCCCCGTGGCCTGTAGGCGCAGGCACTCGGCGATGCACGCAAACACGCCATGCTGGTCGTCTGGATCCTCAAAGTACGTCTGGACAAGCTTTCCGTAGTGCTTGTCCGTGCGGTAGATGCGTTTGAGGATGCGGTAGAAGCCGGCCGCCTTGAAGAGCGGGATCAGGCTCGCCATGTCGGGCGGGTGGTAGACGGACAAGAGGTACTCCGCACTGAGCTGCGCGTCCTCTTCCAGATCGCCGCCGGGGTAGTGGCAGAGGCCCGCCAGCACCTTGGTGAGCGTCGACTCCGGGATCAGCAAGTACTGCGGGTATTTGGGCAGGTTGCGCGCAATGAACATGTCGAGGTAGATGGTGTCTTCGGGCGCAAAGTCGGCCGGGTTCATAATCTCAATGAGGATGGACAGAATGTACTGGCGGTCGACGGTGAGGCCAAAGACCTGCTCCTCCGGCAAATCGCGCGCCGGACGGCTGCCATTGACCAGCTGCTTGTCGGGCGAGTCGTTGAGGAACGAGTCCTCGAACGCTTCGTTGAGCGCGCTCAGGAAACTGGGCGCGTGGAATTTGAGGATCATGCGCAAGTACGGAAACGACGGCTCTTGGGACTGGTTCGGCCGTGTCAGGAACCGTCTGCGGGCGCTGGTCCCGCGCGGCCAGGCGACGCTCTTGCCCGAAAACAAGAACCAGAGGATCTCGGACTTGGCCTGCTGCTGCGTCGCGTCGTCCATGCTCTCGCCCGTGGGGTAGATGCGGCCCGTCAGCACGTAGGACAGATAGGGAAATAGTTTGAGCGCGTTTGTGTCGTGCATGTCCTGCTCGCCCGCTGCGTTCTCCGGCGCCTCGTACTCGCCGTTGGGCATGTGCGGCACAAGCAGGGACAGCAGGTCGATCAGGGGCGTGATGAAGTCGCGCATCGCCTGGTTCCAGACGTACACCAGGGCATCGTACAGGCCGTGCTGCTTGCAGAGAGACGTGATCTGGTCCAAGTCCAGCGTGGCGGTGTTCATGTGGCAGATGATCTCCTCCAGCCGGCTTTCCATGCCCCGGCCAACGTAGTGGCCGACCATGGCCTTCACGACAGTCGGGGGCACGGCCGTGATGGTCTGCTCGAGGATGTAGGGCTCGAGGGTTTCGAGGAAGATGCCCTCTGTGCCCGATTCCTCAAACCACTCAAACATCTCGTCAAAGACAAAGGCAGTGTCGCCGACGCTTTCACAGGCGGCAAAGCAGGTCTGTGCCAGCTCCCGCAGGTGGCTGTCGTCGGCGGTCTCGCGGTTGTGCTGGCGCCGGCTGAAGGCATACTTGAGCGACGCCGCCATGATCTCCATCAAGCGCTCCTGGACCATGGTGTGCCGCGTCTCCGTGTGCTCCGGCAGCCCAATCGTATGTTTGTCGGCGTCGCCCGTGTAAAAGCTGGTGGCCAGCTGGATGGCGCCGACATAGTCGCCGTGCTCCATCAGGGCGATCAAGCGGTCTGCCCAGTTGGACAGCGCGCCGATGGCCATGTCGTTGAAGCCCAGGAGGAACAGCCGGCCCTTGTAGGCCTTGAAGCTCATGTAGAACGCGTCCGCCACGACGCCGTGCATGGACGTGTCCGCCTCGTCGAGCGTCTCGACCACGTTCTGCAGCTGGCGCGAGAAGAGGTCGGTGTGGTAGATGTAGCGGTTGAGCAGGTCGAATGCCTCCGTGACGCGCATGCTGTGGTCCTCGAGCACGATGAGGCGCTGGGAGATGGTCAGCACGGCCAGGACGGAGCGTGTCAGCCACTGCACGGCGACAATGGCCTCCTCGCACTTCCAGCGGCTGCGTGCTTTGCAGTGCAGGCTGTGCTGCTTCTCCTTGTCCTCGGACGGGATCTCGTCGACGTCCAGCACCGTCAAGACGTTTGACCAGCAGTAGACCAGCTTCGCCCGGGAAATGCGGTCGCCGCTCCGCGGGTCGGGCACATTCAGCCGCACCGCCGGGAACCACGCCAGACACCCGCTCATGGCACTGTGGGGCGCGACTTCTTTTGGCCGCGGCGACTTGTGCTGGGTGTTGGCGACGGGCGTCGTCGACACAATGACAAGCAGGTAGGGCGTCAGCATGGCCGTGAGGCCCATGCTGTCGGTGGCGCGGTCCAGGTTGCCGAGCGGCAGAGGAGCAAACGCAAGCACAGTGCTCGGCTTGATTTGCTTTCCCGAAACAGGCGGCTTTGCGCCGGGATAGCGACCAAGGATCCGGCTCGTCTTGACCGTGCGGCCGAGCGCGCCCGTTCCGCGCGTCGCAAGGTGGGCAAAGGCCATGCCGCGGTCGTCGGCCGACACAAGCGCGGTGCGGCGGGTGCCGAGGAAGCCGAGGTGGGTGACACAGAAGCCGGGCATATGGCCGCTGGCTGTGCGGCCAGGATTGTGGGCCTGGGCGGCGTCCATGGGCGGAATGTGGAGGAAGGGTCGTGAGGACCGGCTTGTTTCCCAGGTGAAGATGGATCCGTCGGCGTGGCCGCCGGCAACGGTCGTGTAGTCGGAGGAGATGGCCACCGACGTGATGGCGCCCGCTTCCACGGCTGATCGAGTTAGCAGCTGGTCTTACAATGCATCATGCATTCCGTCAAAAGCACGGTCGCTGCATCGTCCCCGCTCTGATTCCTTACCTTTTGTCCCCATGCCGATAATCAATTTGAGGGTCTGGTTGTAGTCAAAGACAAGCAAGACGCCCTTTGTCGTTCCGACGACAATCGACGCAGAGACGGCCATGCATGTGGGCGAGCCAAAGTTGCGCTTGGCCGACTCCGAAAAGCACTGGCTGGACAGCTTCGTGAGCTTGGTCCAGCGCACAACCTCCCATGGCGGTGAGGGCGACTCGGTGCTGCCACCGACGGCAAAGGGCATGGACGACGGGTCGGCGTGCTGCAGCTGGCTATTGACGGAGCCGCTCCGGTTGTGCGAGGCGTTGAAATGAAGCAGTCCAGGGGAGGATGGACGGCCTGCGGGCGACAGCAGTCCGCTGCTGCTGCCACTGGGCGAGGCGATGCGCGACTGGAAGCGCTGGTCAAAGGGACGGAACGAGGGGCTGGCACCACGCAGGCCGAAGCGAGACAAGCTGCCCGACGATGGGAACACGCTGCTGCCGCCGGCCGAGGAGACAATCGAGTTTCGGTTGGAGGCGGACGAGTCGGGCACGGAAACAAAGGAGTCGCCGCCGGGGCTGCCCGGCCGTCGTGGCAAGCCAAGAGCAGACCCGTCCTCGGAGGCACTGTCCTGCTGCTGCTCTTCGAGGAGCTCACGATATCGGCTTCGTGAGGCCGTCCCGTTCCCAGAATGCACCGGCGTCGACGGCGGCTCTGGCCGGCTCTCAGTAGGTGTAGTCGCCGCGTCCTCGCCGTCTGCCGCGCCGTCCGTGCCGACTGACACGTCGGCTGCATCGTCCTCAGCGTCAGCACCTCGTATTGTCCTCGAATCCTCGTCGTCGTCATCGTCGCCTTGGCTGCGATCATGCTGAGCATGACCGTCGTTTGCTGCAGTCGACGAACCTGGCTCTGGAAGCTCGGGGACGTCCTCGTCTACAGCACCGCCACCACCCATGACAACGTCGTCCCTCCCCCCGTCGCCGTCCCTCTCCGTCAGACTAGAGCTCATCGGGAGGCAGGCATGCAACGCATGGCGTCGGCGGGCGTAGGATGGAGGAAGCTCGAGGCCGTGAGCGGACGGGTCGGGGCGTGTCGGTGGTAGGGCCCAGGGCGTACGAGGAGGCCGAGCGTGCGGAAGCCAATTCGAACGAAGATGTTACAGAGCCGGCAGAGTCGATGGACGAGATCGTCAGAGAGCGAGGAGGGACGTGAGTTGGACCTGAATAGGGGGGGCAGTCGGTTGCCAGAATCGCAGCTCGAAAGCAAAGATGGCAGAAACAAAGCCCACGCAGCCGCACCGGTTCAATGCATGCAAACGGTACCGCAAACAGAAAATCGAGAAACGAGAGAAGGCAAGACAAGGAAGGACAGGCCGTCAGGTGTTGTGTGTGTCGTGCTTCGTCGGGGCCCTCTTGGAGGTCTTGGGTGTGGGTTCGTCTCTGGTGAACTCTAGCTGTGGCCGTTGCGTCTTGTGGAGCAGTTGGCTTCGTTGATCCCCTTGAGTGCTGCCGGGCGCACCTTCTGTCTTTGCTGTTTGCGGTTTGCTTTGCGCCTGCCTAGTTTCGTTATTACTTCCTGTCGCGAAAAGTGGAGACCTTTGTCGCCACAGCCTGTCGTAGCTTCCCTGGAAAAGGCTCTGAGGCTGTGAAACAGCCTACGGTCTCAGCGAACAAGCGGCAGGAGCGCACAGGCATTTGGAATCGGTGCAACAGCGTTCCCCAAGGCCACTGAGGTCAGGCAGCTTTTAGCGGGTCTGCGGGCCGTTTTTGATCCGGTCAGCGCATCCAGCCTCGTGGAAAGGTCACTAAGATTGTCTCCAACCTATCGCTATCAAAATGTCGACCGGCCCGAAACCCACCTCTGACAACCTGTTCAGACCACACACCCGCCATGTCGTCCCAGATCGGCCCGGAGCTGCCGCCACACCTTGCCAAGAGGAAGCGCACACCCGACGATGACGACGAGGAGGGTGGCCGGCGTGTGCGGCTTGCATCGCAGGCGACCAATGCAACAACAACAACAACAACAATCGGACCCGCGGCGCCTAGACCTGACGCAAAAGGGGCCCAGGGCCCTTCCTCTCCCCCTCAAGGCGCTGTGAACGAAGACGAGATCGCGCTCGACGATAGTGACGACGACGGAATGGACGACGGCGCCGGTGCCGGGCCAGCACTTCCTCCAACCCCCAACAAACCGGCGCGCCCTGTCATGGGACCGACAATGGGCCCAACAATGCCGCCGCCGCCATCGCACACAGGTTCGCAAAGTATGGGAACGGAGGACTCGGGCAGGTTTGGCACACAAGGAAGACGTGCAAGGTCAGAGTCTAGGTCAAGCTCGGGCTCCGACTCTGAAGACTCAGACTACGGCCCGGCCTTGCCCAAAGCAGGCGATGACCACCGAAATGCGGCAGCGGCAGCCGGTGACGACGCGGAGACGGGCTTGGACAACGATGATGCGCTGGGTGCTTCTTCCTTTGATCCCTACAGTGCCACCCCGGCACAGCGCGACGACTGGATGATGGCGCCTCCGGCCGATGGCACGGCCGCAAGCCGCGCTGCCGACCCGACCAAAATCCGTTCACGCGGGTTTGCCACGGGCCGAGCAGCAGCAGTGGGTGGTGGCGGCGGCGGTGGCGGCGGTGGCGGCGGTGGAGGTGTTGCATCGTCAGCGATCGGGAGCCTCTGGACCGAGACCCTGCAGCAAAAGTCCCAGCGGCTGGCAGACACGGTACTGGGCCGCGCACCAGACCCACGGCAAGGGCGGCCAAGCGCGGCGGCGGCAGCAGCACCCACATCAACAATGTCGCCTGCTGAAGCCGCCGCGAACGCTGCACGCGAGGCACAGATCCGGGCCTACACCGAATCAACGCGGGGCAAGAGTTTGTACGACGCCCACCAAGAATCACGAAAGGGTGGGAAATCAAAGAAGGACAAGGAACGAGACGACACGAAGGACCACGATCGAGATCGAGATCGGGGTCGGGATCGTGAACGACATCGTGAAAGGGAGAGAGACCGTGACCGTGATGGTAGACGAGAGAGGGATCGGGGAGACCGCGAGGAGAGGAGAAAGCGGGACCGCGACCTGGACCGGGACCGGGAAGACAGGAACAACCGAGAGAGCCGTCGTGATAGAGACCGGAAGGACCACCGCAGTGATCGGAGCCATCGAGACGACCGGGACAGGGGAGACGGGAAGGAGAGGCGGAGTAAAAGGAACGACGGAGACGACAAAGAGGATAGGGAAGACAGACATAGGCGCCACAGACGCGAGGAGAAGGAGCGAGAACGGCGGCACGATAGACACGATCGACATGACGGACACGACCGTCACGACCGTCACGACCATCGCAGTCGCCGTGACCGGGACGACCAGGACGGTTTCGACGCCGACGTTCGCTCCACCAAACCCACAGAAGAGGACGACGACCCAAGCGCCCGCGCGTTTGACCGTGAAAAGGACATGCGCATCGGCGTGCAAATCAGCAACAAGCAGCGCAGGGATCTGGTCAGCCGCGCCGGCGACTTTGGCGGTCGGTTCTCCAAAGGCAGCTTTTTGTAGCACAGATCGTATATGATTACAGAGTCAAAAATCAACGTGACATGGCATATTTGACACATACGTTTCACGCAAAAGACAAAACATACGATGAGCAGCTTTGATATATGACTGGTCTCTCCTCCCCAGACGTACTATTACACGCAGGTCAGGGAGAAACGCACCATGTATAATACGCTAACAACTAATGAAAATGAATATAAGGACGCTTTCTGCAGGAATGTCGGGTCGTGTAGGTAATGGTGTCGTGGGAAGTGACGTAGGAGGAAATGGGATAGGTAAAAACAGAACGCCGCATCGCATGAACGCCAAGTTATCTTTTTGCCTATGGCTTCGCCGCAAATTCCAAAAAGCAACATAAAAAACAAAGGGCTAACCAATCCACCTCGAGCAATGCAAACCGACCGACATGACAAAAGCAAATCCCAGGGAATCAAGTGAAGGGAAGGAGGGAGGATGGGAGCAAGGAAAGAGACGCAAATAATGCAGAAAACACTTCGTCCCCCGCATAACGAAAAGCTAATTACCATACGTATATCCATCCCATGGTGTAACAAACAATAAAAATGCCAAGGTAGACGCTGAAAAAAGACAAAAAATTGCAATGAAGAATACCGTAAGGTTCAAGGTCGATGTCGATATGGCGAGGGCGCTGGGATGTAGCGTAGAGTACTTCAAGAAAATGAGAAGTTGAGGGAAGGGGAGGGGTATAAAGGTGGCGTTGGGTGGTAGGTGGGAGGTGTGAGGTACGGTTGTTGATAGATTGAAGGTTATCGCGGTGGTGCAGGTTGTGTTGCAGCACCTCAGACGTAAGATACGGGGAGTATGTATGCGGCCCGGCTCTACTGGGCACGCACACCAGCCTCCAGCTGTGAGGGCGTCACTTCCGCAGCAGGGGCCGCGGGCTCAGCGGCATTGCCAGCTGCAGCAGCAGGCACTTGCTCCTGGCTGGACTCGCCGTTCCGCCGGCGGAAGGAACGTAGCCAACCACCATGCGTCGGAGCAGGCTGTTCCGGCAGAGGTTGAACCTCGGATGCAGCGGCAGCAGGCACTGCGTTGGCGTTGGCGCTGGCATTCGTGTTCGGCTCGTTCGTCTCGCGTTGGGGGGGAACACGCTCGGCGTCTTGCGCGTTGGCGTTGCGGGAGCCCGGCATGAACCGGGAAGGTAGAATGGCCGACCGCCACGAGGTGCCGGGCCGGGCTTGCATGTTGGCACGATTCCGGTCAGCAGTAACGGCGGCGGCAGCAGCAGCGCCCTGGGCATTGGCGGCATCGGCACCCTCAGCAGGCGGGGCGCGGGGCTTTGGCGTGTAGTAGTCGGCCTTGCAGAGCGGGCAGCAAGCGCGGCGGCTTGTCAGCCAGGGATCGAGACAGACAGCGTGGAAGGCGTGGCCACAGGTCAGACCGCGCACGTCGTCGTCGTCCTCGAGCGTGTCGATGCAGATAGCACACGTATCGCCCGAGGTGCCCACACACTCAGGCGGAAGGGCGGAGTCGATATGCTCGTCGTCTTCGTCATCCGAGTGGTTGTAGTGCTCTGGCAGGGAATCCTTGTTGTAGACGCCCAGTCCGACGTCGCCGTCAGCCGACGCGAGCGAGGCGCGAGTAATATCCATCGTGGTAGATTTCGGGGCGGTCGACGTGCTCGGTGCACCGGGTGCAGCATCCGTCGTAGCAGAAGCGGCAGCGGCAGCGGCACCGTCAGCCGTCGTCGAATCGTGCACCGAGGTGCCGGCTTCCGCAATCGAGGTGGGGGGACGTTCCTTGTCATTGGAGTCCTCAGGCTCGTCCGTGGAGGCGCGTCGTTTCCGGCGTTCGGTCTCGTCCACAGAAGCAATCACACCCTCGGCGGACCGTACGCTGTTGGCCCGGCTGGGGGCGTCGATACCACCAGTCGTTGGCAGACCCTCCTCGGCACGCGTAGCGACCCACGTCTTGTACTTCAACATGGGGAACTTTTCGTTGACCTCGTCGATGGTCATGAGCTTCTTTTCTCTGCGGCGGCGGCGGGGATGTGGTATATTCTCGAGGTTTATTGGCTCGCCGTCTTCGGCGGCCAGGCGCAGCTGGCGAGCGCGGGCATTATAGCGGAAGCAGTACTTGACACCAACGATAATCCACAGGTTGGTGAACACGACACCAAATCCCAGGGCCACGAAAAACAGCAGGGGCGAGCTGCCGCCGCCTCCGCCGCCACCACCACCACCGCTCGTGGTCGTGGCGCTCGGGGGAGGACCACTCGTGCCGGCAGGTGCAGGATTTGTGGTAGTCGCCGGGGCACCCGAGGCTCCGGGAAGAGATGCAGTGTTCGTGGGAGCGGACGCAATGGCTCCCGTTGTGCCAGTCGCGGCAGATGTGACGGCCGTGGCGACAGTCGACGAGGCCTGTCTGGCTAGTAGGGCAGCGCCCTCGAGCACTTGGTCGATAATCGGCATCGTGTCGTCGGGATCGCCACAATGGACGCGTGTTCAAGATCAAGCGTCGACGGATACGTATGGGCTAGAGACTGGAGATAAACAAAGAAAAAGTAAAACGCAGTAGAAGAAACGTCCGAGTTGCCAATGTCGGGCGGGTGGACAAAGGGAGAGCCGTCGGGGCGAGGGTTGTATTGCAATGGCAGTTGTGAGACGCGAGGCAAGTTGGTGTAAAAACGAGTCTCAAACAAAATTGGACAGTCGAAATTGGAGGTTCGAAAATTGGAAACAGGCGCTCGATCGCGAGGCGCTTGGCAGAACACAAATTTGGCGGCGAGACACACGTAGATACAAATGTCGAACAACAGCCACGGTACAAGGGACTATGGCAGAGAGAGACGTTGGCAACTCATAAGGATACGTAAGCCAGCAGCGGAGGATGGTTCGAGGATGTCGACGGATGTCAATGGAGGTCGAGATGCGGAAATGTCGATACGCGGCCGTCGCTGTCAACAATGACGTTGACAATCAGAGAGAGTAGGTAGCAAAGGCGAGCTTCCGAGAGTTGAAGACGAAAGAAGGAAACGAAAGAAAAGAACACGAAACAACGTCACGCGTGAAGCGACAATAGGTTTGCATCCGGGCTTCCCCGTGGCTCGAATTAGGGAAAGGCGGTCGGATTCTCGTATTTTCAGAACGTCGCACGACGGTTCGAATGCAGAACCGTGTCGGCGTCCGAGGTTGCCTGAGCGAATGAACGAGAAGAAGTCGGATGGGGGGGAAGAGAGGCAAACGTGCCAGAAGAGGGCGACGATGTTGCGAATGTGACGATGGGAGGACAAGGAGAGAAAGTGGTGGCAGATCTGGGAAGTGCGGGATAAAAGAGGACAGGAGGAATGGCTGCCAGGAAAGGAGGCGGCCGGGCGAGGAATGGAAAGGGCAGTTGGGGGTGGGCGATGTGAAAAAGAGGAGAAGGAGCGGAGTTTAGGTGGGCGCAGGCGGTACGAGGTTTAGGGAAGGAGCGCCCGTTTAGTGCCAAAAGGGGACACATCAGAGGCGGAAAGAGCGGAGCCGTCTGGGGGCCCAATAGTGACGACGCACGCCACCTGAACCAGTGGTGCGGTCCTAATTCGTACACTCAGCACGGACGGAAAGTGTCGTCCGGGGCGTTTCGGTGGGTTTTCTGGTCGCAGAAAGCAGGGAAGCAGCGAACCAGGGAAGCAGTTTGCCGTACGAGGAAAGAACAAGGAGACACAAAAGGAGAGGCGAATAGAGATGCGAAATCAGGAAAAGGAAAGAGCAGCGACGGCCTGGTTCAACAAAGAGAAAGAACGAGCGAACGCTGTGACGACCGCAGAGGAGACAAACAAGCAAAATAATAAAATAAATGAATATAAAAATAAAATAAAGAAAAAGAGAGCAAAAAGCAAAAAAGCGGGCACTCTGGAAGTGATGCCGAGCAGACGCATTTACTTGACAGGGAAGGGGCGACGGGACGCTGAGGGGCCTCTTTCTGGATCTAGTCTGCATCTGGCTTTGCGGTGGGCATCGAAGCGCTGGGAGCTGTCAATTTTTGTCGAGCTTGTCAGTGAAGCCAACATTTACGGGGCCTGTCTCTGGTGTGCATTTTGCTGCCAATCGCGCTAGAAACAGCAAGGACGACAGTGCCAACAAGGCCAACGTCAGAGATGAGCGCGGGCGCCATACGCAAGGGGAGAGAGAGCAGGGGGGAAGGAGCGGAGGAGCAGAGGAGGTATGGCCAACAGCGAGGCGCCGCACTAGTCGACCGGTATTGTGGGTACGAATTACTTGGAAGGCGTTACTGGCGTGCAATGGTTCTGAGTAGGGAAGGAGGCAGGGAGGGGAGGGCATGGGAAGGAAGGCGGGGCTGGCGACACACGGGAGTGTCTGACGCTGGTGCTTGACGGCCGAACCCTCCTTCCTTCCCACGATCCCCGTTCCCCGTCGTTATGCAAAACGGGCAGGAATGGGGCGGGTGCCAATTGCAGCACACTGCGGTAGGCTCCATATGGAGAAACTTCTACGGAGTGTTCTATGTTCTGTATTTGCGGTGCCGCCGGTCACTTGGCATGCGTCCTTTTGTTCATGTTTTGTTGACAGCAAATCTTCCAAAGCAGATGCCAAGGCTCGCAATGCACTGAGCTGGTTCTCGGCCACACAACTAGCGCTTCGTCACCGGGCAAAGGTGGTGTGTTTCGCGTGTTCAAATGGCCACCTCAGTTGTCCAGGGCCCGAGCCAAGACCGCTCTGGAAGCCATCATGTTCGCCATGTTGGTTGGTGGTGTGAGGCGTCTGGCTTTTCCAGAAGACAAAGGGCCTAGATGGGCGCGTGGCTTTGTGCTTGGCTCTTGGCTTGGAGGCGGTTGTGTCTCTCTCTGGCCTGGCCTCTGGGAAGGATGGAAGCAAGCAAGAAATCAACACAGAGGCGGCCCTGGCAGAGCAAATCAGGATCCGTTAACTACATTTTTTTGTCTCTGGGAGAGCCTCTCCCAGCATTTAAAAGGGCGAAAACTAGCAGATCGATTACCGATGCGGCTGCATGGCGGCGGCTGCAATCAACAGCACAATGCGAGAAGAGGCGGTTGGTGGCCGGTCTGGCCACTGTCCTTTCCACAATGCGGACTTGTGTGATGAGGAATCACCGCATTTTGCCCAAGCCGGCCTAGCCACCAATGGCAAGGGCAAAAGGCACAACGCTGCAATCATTGCAGGGAGGGTGTGGTTGTCGCTGGGATAGGAGGAAAGAGGAGGGTTACGACGAACACGACGCAAACCATGGACGGGCGACAAATGTGCGGCAGCAACAGATTATCCGTTTGCGTCTGTGCGTCTGAAGAGAGAAATTGTGTGCATGTCGTCGACTGGCGGCGTACGGAGGAATACGTGTGCGCGCGTGTGCTGCTCCGCCTCAGTCTCCTGTCTCCGCGTTTTCAGAGTCTGTTACAGAATACAGGAGACGCAACACAAGTTGCGCAGGTAGCATAGCACGAATCTTTCTGAGAGGCTGGGGACAGGGGGTCGCCGTGGCCGTGGCGGTAAGAACCAGCAACAAGGGCCTGGCTAGAGACGAGGAAGCGATGCGACAGGGGTCGGATGGATAGGGTATGACAGATAAAACTCGAATTGCAAGCGACGGCACGACATATGGCAGAACTCCGGGCCTCGCAAAGGGACAGCCTCGCCTCCTCCCATTTAACCTGGGAGAGCCAGTTCATGCGGTCGACCCTTTAGACATTAAAAACGACAAAAGAAAAAGGGGGTAACGAAACGAGAAAAGGGAAAAGAGCGCGGAAGGAAACAATATTGGGCAATCGCCGGTTTCCCTCTGGTGACGCCGATCTCGATGGGCGGCTAATGTGATTGATGCAGACCAAACCATGGTGGGAAGCATTCCGTCCTCCATACATCGTAGACAGAGTTGTGCTCAACCCTCTAATCTCGCGTTGCATGTCGCAGCGGACAGTCTCTCCTGTGCCTCGCGGTCTCAACACAGTGAGGTGCACACACGAGCATATAACGGGCTGGTGATGGCGCAACGCGATGAGAGACATCCTTTTCATGCAGGACCAAGACACAGAGGCCGTAAGACGAGTACCCAGCGAGACTGGTCTCTTCACCCAAAATGCAGCCCTCCAAATTATGGTGCCAAGAACGCCTTCTTCATGGCGCTCTTCTCAATTCCTGCGCAGCCATGTACACGCTGTTGTGGAACGTGCAATCAAGTAGCTCTGTTTTCAGTCTTCACTTGGAGTGAACAGAGAGAGATAGGCGACAATATACGAGTTTCCGGTGTCACGTCCGGCCACTGGCCACACAGGTCTGGCCTGGAGGACGCGATGCGGTCAACGCGATGCGGCCACAATACAGTTTGTTTTGGGCCGACTTTGACTTTGCTGGCCATGCACGCGTCCCGTTCGTCGCAGAACAAATAATGATGAATATAAAAAATACAACAACCGAGACAAAATACGGAGTACGCTCATACAGACATAAGCAATCGCGAGACAACAAAAACACGTCGCTCGGCTGACTCCAGGCTTTATCAGCAAGGGCAAAATTCCATGGTCACTATGCAGTCGTGGTGTCCTCAGCCTTCTCGATCTTCTCGACGGCTCGACCAGAATCGATTTACCTTTTATTTTTCCACTCTGCTTTTTGAAGCACTCTCTTTTCGCCCGCCTGCCTCTCTTTTGCCCGACTGTCGATTTGCCTTGATCTGCATTCCTTTTCCAGCCCAGAGCGCCGATCAATCGCCTGCAGTGGTGTCACTGTGGAGACTCAACTGGCCGCCCCGTACCTCTTTCTGCGCGGCCTATTAAATCCCCCGACCGGGCGCTCGTCCAGGTTTGACCTCTAATTACTGAGCAGTCAGTTCCATGACGCTGTGATAATTCCCTGCAAACTACATCGTACGGAGTGTGGACAGAAGACAGTGTTCGAGCTGGGCTGGAACCCTGACCGCCTTTGCCAGAAGATGCGAGCAAAAGGGATGATGATGTGGAATCCCAGTGAGATGGATGTTCACTTGTCGATACGCCTTTCTTTGCTTGTCACACTCTCATCTCGTTATTGTTTTATCCGACGTTTCCGCTGGCCGAGAAGGTATCCAAGTACTCAGTATTTGCGAGAAGAAAATACTTCGTACGTCGTAAACGTAAATACTCCGCAACCTGCTCACAGACGGGCCCTAGTGATATGTCGTATGCCCCGGCATCCTTCTGAAGCATCACAGCTTTCTTTTTTTTTTTTTTTTTTTTTTTTTTTTTTTTTTTTTTTTTTTTTATGGATGAACATATTGTTTACCGTTCATGTTCATCCGCCTTCCGTCGCGACGTAAGACCGCGTGAGCCTTCGGGGGAACCCAAATAAAGACAAAGAAATCCCTCTGAGCCTCACCGTAGCTCGGACCAATAGAGAACCCCTAGACGTCTCCGGCTTGTCGACCAGCCGAGCCATCACAGACACGTGCAGGCGTTGAATTCAAATCATGTCGTACGACG